TTTTATGTGTTGATAGAAATAGGCCTTGTAAGATATACTGATTTATAGCATTACAATTTAATTTTGATTTAGTCATTATGGTGTTCCATATTAATGTGGAAATATTTTAGGGCGTGTGAGCTGGAAGATATGAAAGCATGTTGGTTGTTAAGTACTTGGTATATTGGACATGATGCTGAATTCGTTACTTTGGATGCAAAAAAGGCTGTAAGTCTGATATTTCATTTAATGAAGATTTTTTACGTTGGATTTGGAGCCTGTGAAATAGACTAATATAAGAAATCACCTTAAATCGATTTAAGTTGTTACTCTGAGTGCAGTATTTTCTTTTCTAGTTTTAGAACTGGCATTTTTTCTTTGGTACGTGTTTATTCTCTGAATTTTTTATATAGAAATATGAACACATGTTAAATTAAGAACTGAATCAATAACGACAGTTTTAGATCTTAAAAACGAGTGTGCTGAACTTTTCTGACTTGATTTTAGTCCTGTCATTCTAGAAGCATAGTTCACACCTGGGAGAACTTCCACGAAATATCGATTTAGCTATCAAATATGGTATCCGTGCTTGTAATTTTGGTTGCTTCCAATCGTGTGGAAATGTTTCCAGGTTAGTTCTGATTATTTTTACGATTAGTTTTTCAGTAATTTCAGTAGTGTTGATATTCTGTGTGGGCATTTTGGTCTTAGTCAATGACTAAGATAATTAATTTTAATTTTATTCCTTAAAACTAAACGATTCTCGGAACTCTCATAACTACATACTGCGCAGTATTTGAAAATTACTAGCCGCTTTTTTTTTCTTTTTCGTTGCAGGTTATATAGCTTAGGTGATGGAGTTGAGTATGATCCAGTTAAAGCGAAGTTTTACTTGAATAAAGCAAAAGAAGCTTATAAACGTGCCCAGTCAGGTGATAAAGTGGATTTCACTGGTTAATTTTCAGTATTTTTAATAAGCTTATTTCAGTATTAGACTAATTTGATTAATTTTTATTCATTATTGCTTCATTTACGTTCCGCAGATTCAGTTCAATTTAGCAAGGTGCCTCAATTTAAACACGCTGTTGTTTTTCTGTTATGCATATATAACAGGAACTGTATTCAATGAACTTTTTTTTCTCACAAGTCAGATGTCAATAATGGCCGATAGATATGCTATGTTATTTTTTTCAGTATTTTGTTAAAATCTGTAAGTTGCATTCATTATGAGGTAACATTCTTGCTAAGCATAATTTGTAATTCAGTAGGAATCACATCTTTATATATAAAATATCTTAAATATTACTAAAGTAGGTTTTTAAATTTAGCCATACTTATACTTTATAATCAGACATACTTACCTTTATTTTGACAAATCTCAACTAATCTAGATTAGTTGAATAAATACCATGAAAGATTAGATTAAAATTTTTGCTAGGATCCATAAGTATTTGAAAATATTTTTTTGTTCCGGATCAGTTCAGGTTTTATTGTCAAAATATCGAATATAATTTTTTTCTTTTCTCAAATCATCCTTTATGATTATACCAAGGAATGAGTGTAATTAAAAAGTTAAGGCTGCCGAACATAAGACATATAAAGGCATTGATAAAAAAGTATCTAACCTTTGATTAGTAGCGTAACTCCGGCAAGCAAACGAAATGAGCAAAGCTACTGATCATTTACTGAAAATTGGCAAAAGACATGCTCTTAGAAAAGATTTTTTGTCATTACGAAAAACAATCGGTAAGAATTTTAAAGTATTACTTTAAAAAATAATCACAGACCACAGTGTTGGATTCGAGAGAAAAGTAAACGAAACTTTTACGGAAACGTCTCAAGAAAACGAATTGGTATACTTTTTTGAGATGTGGCTTAAGACAGTAGAAAAATCGGTTTCATAAATAATATTTTCTGTACAGTTGACAACTGTTGCAAAATATTTTCATATTTCTGCTACAGTAGAAAGAAAAAAAATTGAACAGTCGCATTTGTATTTTTTGTGGAAATGATGTTTTGATAATGTGACCAGCAAAACAGAGACTCGTTTAAATTATAGAAGTGAACTCTCATGCTGTAACAGAATATTCTGGAATAATGTCCAGATGTGATAATATAAGCAACCATGAAAAATCTATTTAGAGAAGAGCCAGTGAAATGATTCTGGCATAAACTGATTATAACAATTTCGCTGATGAATCTTCACTGTAAAACGGAATTGTAAGGTGCGCAAACGTTTGGTATCGGCGAATAAAAATTGATATTAAAAATAAAGGGGCATTGAATAAAGTCAGTGATTTTTAATTTGTTATTTATTAGTAAAATTTAGCAATTAGTTTTTTTTTTTTTTTTTTTTGAGTAAGTTCTTTACTGAACAGAGTAAAAATTTCTTTTGGTGAAAAAAAAAGAAAAAAACTAAAATTAATTTTTTAATCTGACCTTTTGATTCGAACTATATTTTTATCTGTCCCAGTGCAACTTCAGCAAAGCTTCTGATAGAGTAGATAACTATCTCGTTTTTTTAAATTGATTTTTTCGTTGAGTCGTAAATTTCAAAATCTTAATGGCGATCACATAACACTCTAAATTTTGTACTTAGTAAAGAGTAAAGTCTTTCCATAGACTGGTAAATTAACGATGATAGAAAAAACGATTAAATATATTATTCATTTCTGCAGTGCTAAAAAGCTTCAGATTAATGTGATATGTAATTAGTATTGTATTAATATGGTAATAGAGAGGAGAAAACCAACTGATACGCATTATTTCAAAGTCAATCTGAATGTATGCATTAGTGGGTTGTTAAATAAAATTTAATTATCAATTGGTAAAAGTGATTTAAAACATAACTTGAACAAGGGCATAAAGTATTAAAGAAAGTTTGTAGGTTATTAATTTCAAAGATTCTATCAAGATGAGCGTTATGTTTCTTAGGTTTACCAGAAGTGATAAAATGATAAAATGAGGTTCCTTAGGTCTACCAGTTCAGAAGTGATAAAATAAGGAAAAAAATACATATGACTCGATGATAACTGGGTTTTATCATTCCATCGTAAACTTCAAAAGTTCACATTAACACTGATTTTATGCAAATTGAGAAGATATCCATCCTTCCAAATCACACATACATTTGTTTCTTGTTATTCTACTAGCAAAGCATGAAAACATGTGTCTTAAGTATTATTCTATTGCAAACTTTTCGTCTTTCTTTCATAATAATGATAATGTTTCTATGTTTCACAGCTTTGCAATATTCTGTTGGATTTACAAAATTGTTTTCGTTCTCATATGCTTACGCTTCAACTTAAAGTTAAACTCAACAACTATGCTACATACTGAACGACTGATATTCAGTGATTCTGTTTTATTCTTGATGGTTGAAATATGCTACAATATATAGAGGGATGATGACTTTTTAAAAAGACTAAATAGATAAAAGAATTAAGAATAGAAATATGAATAAATCATTTAGGCTTATAACTCACTTGGTTGGCCTCAGAAAGAAGATTAGATGAATGAAGCACTGCAATTTCACTATAACCGACTGTAGAACAAATGTGGAAGTGAAGTTCTGATGTTCGTCCTTCATTCCTGTTAATAATACTGCATCGGCAAGTTAATAAGCATTAGTACTTGAAAACATTGAACGCATTAAATGCTGAAAAATTTCAACAATCGACTTTTTAATATGGCTTGTAACCGTGTTAATACTGATTAAGTAATGGAAATGTCATTCCGAATTGTACTATGTACAGTATGACCAGTCGAGATGGTCTTGAGGAGGCCATAAGAGAAGAATGGCTGCACAGATTGTAAATCTGCGTAAGGAGAAAGGATCAGACGTAAGATTTTTGGAGGATAATATATGTCACTATCACGTATGTTATAGTAATAGTTGACAATGCAGTCCTCAAAAACTATTAAATGTATGTTGAAAGGATTATCAATCACGCAAGACCCTTATCTTCACAAATTTCAGTTTTTCGGAAAGAAATTTTTTTCTTCGTCTAAAAAGTAAGAAATCACAGAATTTTATCAATCGCTTTTGAGCGTTTGACTTGAACCTTCCCTCTAATACCTTCCTATTCTTCTCACACTCCTCAGTCTAACATGTACAGGTGGGGTGATTTTTTTGCATATCGTCCGCGGTATTCCAAACAAACCAACCTAAAAGATTCCGGGAAAATTATTAGCTAGAATCCTGCAGTTCGATTATGTAAATGATTAGGAGAAGTTTTATAGAATACCTTAACAATAGGTCTTTTGTGGTAAGTATGATATTAACTCTTAGCACGCTCACTTTACTGTCCACTTCCCACTGGAATCAAACTTTCGGCCAAAAGAGCCAAGGGAAACCGCGGTCGAAATAACATTTTTCGCAGATTGATGAAAACTGGAGTGACATTCGCTTTTCTTGTGATTTCTTTATATATTTATAGATTCTGATATCTGCTAAAGTTTCTGAAACTCGTTTATATCAGACCTTTTTTTACAGTCCTTTAAAATCTGAAATTATTTTTCGTTCGACTACAGAGGAAAAGCGAATCTGACTTCGATGTTTGGCTAAAATATTTGAGGGACGAAAGTATCATTATTCTCTCGTTAACTTCCGTGATGTTGATTTAGTCAGATTAATTGTCATCAGAGTACTTGTCCTCTTTCATATATTCTCGATTTATTTGAACAATTTGAAAAATTCTATTGCAAATTCCGTATCCTGCGTAGATAATACACAAGTGTTTATGAAAACAATTATAAACACTATTATCGAAAAGAACTGAGTAATATCTGCCATTGTTTACGGACTATCTTATGTTTTAAGTATATTGAAGCGTTCTATTGTATTATTAGTTTGATGCTGTAGTAATTGTGCATCAAATTTTTTAGACGTTTCGCACCTTGTAAAAATTACTAGTAGGGTTGATATTATTTCGTTTTATGCTGTATGTATTGCTTGGTACTAGCAAGTACTAGCAAAGCTTATCTCTGTTCAAATCAGTCAAAATTGAAGGAGCAACTATATGTCGACATTAAAGTCACCAGGTGCTCCTGCGGATAACATACAGGTAAGTAGTCTTATTGATAGTTCGGAAAAAAATACTACCTCAACTCGCGTTTCCGCTCCGACTACAACTAGTACTAATCCTGGATCTTTGGAAGAAATACATCGGAAATGTCGCGAAGTATTCCCATTGTGTTTCGATGGAGCAAGGATGATGCTCACGAAAGCAATGTCTTCACATTTTCAGGTTGTTTTTTTTTGTAATGGAAATCTTTTATGGAAAGATTCTTTTTCAGAAATAAATACTGCAATGAAGGATATCCTTGTTTTGTAGGGTTTCACCTTGACGTAGGTGTTACAGTTTGTATATCAGGAAGAAACCGTATATTGTAATGCATAGATATTAAAAATGATATATAGGTGACCCATACGTTATGTGTATCGCCACAAAGTACGGGATATCGTTTTGGTGCCACCTATGTTGGCACTAAGACAACGCAACAAGAAGGCGAAAGTTTTCCTGTGTTTTTGGCAGACACTGACATTTCTGGTAACACTTCTGCAACATTCTTGCATCAATTTGGCGATCGATGGAGAGTAAAAATGCAAGCGCAAACTCAAGGTAGCATTTCAAATTGGGTTTCTTTTTTGGTTTGCATGCACCATTTATGTCATTGTTATCTTAGTATATGTTTATCAGCATATTGCTTCTTGCACGTTTTGAGACACTTTCTAATGTCTGTAGTTTGGTTGACGGTAGTCTTCTGTTATGCTTCCTTAATTTTTAACCGACAAAGGAAGCGAACATATCTGATGGTAATTGTTGGCATTGTTATGGTTTTGCTTTCAATTTTAGAAGTATCGTCAAACTGGAATATCGCTAAAAGCAAGCAGTATATTTGCTTTTTTTTAATTTCTTCATACATTTTCGACCCTGCAGAAAGTTTTGCTTGTCTTTTCTGTTGACATTCTTTTTATAGTATTTTGAATAGGCTTCAAGGAGTTAATCATTTAATACCGAGGTTTCAAATTTTTGAAGGGAATAAGTTGACAACAACTCAAGGAGGAGTTGAATATCGTGGTCGTCTTACAACATTGGGATTGACATGTGCCAATATTGACATCATCAATGATTCTGGAGTTATTATTGCACAGTATCTACGACGCATAACCAAAAAGCTAGATCTAGGTGTCGAATTCATCCATCAATATGGGGTTCCCATTCCTGGAAGGCAATTTTCAGTTGTAAACTATCAGGCAAGGTTGGATTTTTCATCTTTTTCTTTTTTTTTTTTTTTTTTTGCTTTTCCATGTTTCTTTTGTTGTTCACAACATAAAAAATAAGACAAAATAAGACATGTATATTTAATAAAAAATAAGACATGTATATTTTTGTAGAACAATGATGTTTTTGCTTGAATTAGTCTTGTTCAATATATTTATTGTTCGTTAGACTTCTAATGAGGATTACTGAGACTTTGTTGTTATCGTTATTTGTCATAGATTTGCTACAACTCCCAATATTCTTTTATGTCTTGCAATTTTTTTTTTTTTTTTTTTGAATAATTTTGTAAGTTTTAGATATACGGGTAAAAATTTTATTGCAAGTGGGATGTTCAGCTTTGATGCCCTTCATTTGTGTTATTATCATAAGCAACGTGAAAATATTTCATTTGGTGTCGAATTCGAAAGTTCGACACGATCTGGAGAGGCTGTTACTACCATTGGTTACCAGGTGAGTAGGAATAAACAGTTTTTATAAAATTTTCTAGAAAACTTTGCGGTTGATTACGCTATTGCATACCTGTTTTCTCACATATGAGAATACTGGACTCTGTTTTTAAAACTTGCAATTTTTTTAAAAATATTTCTCTTGTCTCCTAACTGTTGTATGCTTGCATTGACTTCATTAAAAGGCGGTTCATTGAAATTGTCGTTAAACCAGTTTTCAGGCTGAAATCCCGGACGAAGGTGTGATAATGAGAGCGTCAGTGAATACCGACTGGTCAGTTGGGGCAGTATTTGAGAAAAAACTTTCTAGAAATCTGCCGTTCACATTGGCCATATCGGGAATGCTCAACCACGTGAAGGGACAGGGGAAGTTTGGTATTGGCCTTATAATCGGTTAATTATCTTGTAACTGATTGACTGACTTCTTAAATGGTAATATATGTACCTGAAACTGTTATGTCATCTGCAATTTTTGCAATAAACTTGGCCATTTTGGCCTTATCTATTTAACTAATACTGTCCAAATCGTAAGAATATGTTTATCTTCTAGATGGAGCTTTTTAATTTGTTTTTTCAGATGCTGTTTTTGACAGGAGTAATGGTCTTAACTTAATCGCAATCAAGTTGCGTTTATAGATGTTTTTCCTATAACTTCTTGAAGTTTTCAAAAAATTTCCGGTATTTTTTTTTAGAAGTTTTCTTTTTTTATTTCCAATGTGACTTTAATTCATTAGCTAGCAAGGAAGGGCACTTTTCGCGGTGGTTCTAATATATTTTTTGTTTCTTGCAATCTTTATCTGTTAGTTTTTGCGTCATTTTTGAAAGCATATTTATTTGGATTGATAGCTCGTTTACACAAAACTTTGACTCGCTGCTGCAATTTATTGACCTTTTTGCAAACGCTAAGAGCATTTTAAATTTGTTGGTACTATTCTAACCTTTACATCGCGCTTGATGAATGCATTCCTGCTCGGGCTTTATACTTAATCAAATCTATCAGTCCTTTGTTCAAGGATTTGGTGTAGAATGTTATACTTCTAACCATGTATGTTGTTATTCGGTTCGCTGATGTAATAGTTGTTTTTTTTTTCTTGCATTGATTTGTTTCGTTGTGGCTTTGTTTATCACCGTGAAGAATAGCTTTTCTAAATGCTATACAACTTATGTTCTACCTTCCTTTTTAGCTTTTGCTTCTAAGGGTTTTACAAGTATTCGATTTTTTCATAAACTTAGGTTCTTTTATATTTCTTCAAAAAGAAATATGAATTTCTGAGGGATAGGTATATCTATTTGTTTCAGTGTTGTCCAAAAAATAGAACTTGCAGTTGCTAGATTAATAGTTTCTAATTTGTTAGGTACGTTTTTTGAATGCATTTCAAGGATGCAATTTCATTATTTTTTTTTTAATGATAATTGTGATTGCACACCACTGTCCTTATTCACACTCAGATTGTGTCTTTATTGAAAGGTGAAGAAGGACAAAGTGTGAATGCACTTGTTTAACTATATAAATTGCATTGATAAGATGGGTATTATTGCATCGGGATTAAAAATTGAAAATGAGAGAAATTGGTAATTTATGAACTTTTTTAATTTGATGTGGCAGTTGTGTTTTACGCCGTCCAGTTTGGAAATTTATTTCCTGTCTTGCAGAACGCTCATAAAATTGACCATGGATGGGTCGGTCTATAAAAAGTAACCAATCCACCCATGGTAAACTGAATTTATGCCATTCTTCAGTAGAGCTGTGTTGTGACGGGAGAAAGAGCGTGTAATGGTGGTGTATCCACTCATAAAAAGAGGTTATGGTACCCAGTGCTTGTTAGTTCTTTCGGCGCTAACATGATTTTCTGAAAGTGTTCTGGCACTGTGATGTTTAAAAAATGCAGTATTTCTATTGAAGTAGGGGTCGTCTTCGAAAGAATTTTTAAAGGATAACATAGATTATAATGTTAAATGCGTCCGTGTTTCTTATTCAACAGAAACCAATTATCCTGTTCTGCTCTTATCATAGATAATTGTAGGTGGCTGCTTGAAGTATTTGTAAAAAGTTCAATAATATTATAAATGAATGGATTATTGTATTAAGCATAATGTGCAGTCATTCATTTCCAGAGACAAATCACAGTGCCATACGGACTACCACGAATATATCGAAAATACACGCCTTAGTATACGTGTGCAAACCTGTGTGGTAAAGAAATACAGTTTGAAGTTCACAAGTTTATTACATCAGTCAGTGTAAGGTGTTATAATACAGTTTGTGTACGGCATTACACTGCAAAATGACCTGAACTTTACTCTACTTGAATGATCGGATAACCGATCATTGAAAATTGAGTCATTATTCCACTTTTGTTTTATTGTAAGTCATTTCGATCTCGATTACAGCATTCAATTCTTACTCCTATCAACATCCAAGTATTCATTACTAATTTATAAGTAGCCTGGATGTTTTTTTTTTTTGAATGCTTGGATGTTAATATGAGCAAAAGCCGAAATGTTGCAACAGTACAAGTAGAGATGAAGAACTAATCAGAAAGTATATTACAAGACAAACACGACTTGGTAATACAGCTTTCTTGTAGAGTCGAACACCACTTTTATAATTCCATGGTCTTCGATGATCATTTTACAAGAATGACGATTTCTTGTGTATGTCAATTATTCTGCAAAAGGTTGGTTGTTTTCATCAAAGACATAATAATGTTTGAAATATTCTCTATGAGAAATGCTGTAACATGTTCTCCGTTATCATTCTTAAAAACTTAATTGTTTCAAGCTTATCTCAGTCGACGAGGAATAAAATTGACATTAATCATATTTTGTCTCCTAGAATTACTAATATTTTCCTAATAGCAATGAAAAGCAGGTAGAATTTTTGGGAGACAAAACATCAATGTTTTGACTGATATCATGTATATATAAAAATTGTTCTTGCTTCATTTGTGACTTCAGTTGTTTGGAGCTAAACTAAATGAACAAGAGTAAATAGATTTGAAATAGCTTTAAAGTAAACTAATTAGTTTGAATTGCCTGAAAAGCATGCGTTATGAATTGATTACTGGTGAGATAATATGGTTAATACGAAGAAATTCCAATTTCAATTTTCTTAAAAAAAAAGCTCAAAAACGTTGACTTAAAATTGACCATTGATTTATATATTAGCTTGCTTCTCTGCAAAATAATTTCGAGTCTACCTGGAATATTATAAACATATAGCTTAGGTTTCAATAATCAAAGATAAAGAGAGGAAATGAGATACCGGGAAGCATTTGCATCATTTGCACTGTTTTGCATTGCTTTAAATACATCATAATTTGTTGGGGACAATCTCAGTAAGTTATGATAAATGGAGTGGTATTGACTAAAAAGGGCAGAAGGAGAGATGAATGTTTCCGCAAAAGTTGTTAGTTACACTTGTTATGTAAACAGTATTTACATAACAAGTGTAAGGGAGTAAAGTTATTCTTTATATATAATTCAGAGAGTTATCATGCACATATTTAGACCAGAAGCCAAGAACTGATGTAGTTTTGCAGTTATATAGAAATTTTAGCCTTTACATATACGGACTCACCATCCAGTCGGGATAGTTTTCAACCTCCCCCTCCCTCCCCCCAGTTATTTGCAAAGTACAATATAGAAGCTTCAAAATTAACGCTGCACTATTCTGCACTACTTCAACCGGATCACTGATTGTTTGATGTTATGCGCGGTTTGCTTTTGTAATGAATATTTTGTCGTTTCGGGCGTTAATTCAAGTCGGACTACAAAAGGTGATAATAACCGATTTCTGCAATCGATCTATATTCGTTCTTTCATTTAGCAGGAGGAACTGTTGCTGTTAAGGTGACGCTTTGGGTGTCGCTCTCACATATAGAGGGTAGCATATAAAACATGTCCTGATTTTCTTCTGTTAGCATGAGCAGTGGACATAGTAGGTTCAGTAAATTCCAAACATAATTTGAAGTATTTCGAAGTTTTTTGGACTTAAATTACAATCGTATTCGGATTCTTTCAGTACTCAGATATAATCGTTAATTTGTTCACATTAAATCTGCTGTTGAAAACAACTATATTTATTTTTGGAAGCAATCTTATGCTAACTTAGAATTGAATTTTAGCTTATAAACAAATGAAATTTACTTTACTGTATTCTGAACGCTTCATTTTAATAATGAAGAAAACACTTCAGTAAATGACATCCCAGAGAAGATCTTAATATACCTTTAAAAGAAATTAAAATCTTGTCACCAAGAAACTCTTTAAATTTGAAATTTTTGCTTCAGTTTGAAATTTGGGAGCCATGGGTGAAGATACTGTTTTCTCACAAGCAGCAATCATAAATTTTAGACCGAACTGTCGAAATATGAACTGATTACTACGGGGCAATTAACAAGCATTTATGTCAAGAAATTTCTCTCTAGAGATTTGCATCCTAGTGACAATGCCTGGGTTTTACAATTTCTTTGCTGGTGTATGCAGTTTTGATCGATCTTTCTGCCTGATATTTCAATATCGTATTTTAGTTGCTATATTCAGTATTTTGATTTTTCATTGCTAGTAATTACTTTTTTCTTGTCTTTGTTTATCATAGCGACAGATGCAATACAGTTTTCTCCTAAACCGGAAATCAATCGATAGGATGACCGTTTTCAATTGCTGCAGTACAATGAAAGTTTTTTTGGGATTCTTACTGTTCTTTCTTTTCACTGCATAAATCGATGATGCAAATTCACGCATTTGTTACAGTTGACGAATTCATAACTAATCAGTAATGTGTCTGTTTTTCTCATTTTAATTTAATTTTTGGATTGAAAGCTTTAAAATCAAAATCACCTATCTGGAATAAAATCAGTTCTATTTTGCAAAAAAAAAAAATGCTTTTTTGAAAATTTGGCTATAATGTTTCATGTTTTTTTATTGTTATCGTTGTTTTAGGCTTATTTGTTCCTTTTTTGTTTAAATCAAGTCGATTTATGGCTTACGATTTTTGAATTTTTTCTGTATATATTTTACTCTCAAGGTTTCTGAATTGTAAGGTTACGTTTGGATTCAGTTCTATTGATTATGCAATAGGAATATAAGTACTGAAGGAAAGTGCTTTACGTACTATAAGTACTTTACGCTGCATGTTGTTATTTGATGAAGGTGCATTTTGGTGAATTAATTATTTAACCAAAAAAAAAGTTAATAATAATTCTTACTCATCTGTGATTAATTCGAGAAAGATGATGTATTGTGAATGTATGGATTTGTTTCTATAATTAAGTACTGTGAGTAGATCGTAAAATCTCGCTCTAAAATAAATTTATCAAAACGCTTCGTTATGATTTTATTTCAATACACTATTTTATTTTTTTGCAAATTTTAGCGCAATAAAACTTCATAAAACAAGTTTGACAGCATTTTTGATACTTATTTTTGAAGTCTTTTTCATGATTATTTGATTATTGTAAGATCACAAACTAATTTGTTGCTTAATAAGCCTGAATATCATTCAATTTGCTTTAATAACAACTTACTCTAATGTCCTTTAACTTCAAAATTATCAGTTCAAGACTGCATAATAAACTTCTTCAACTACTGCTTCCTTTTCAACTAACAATCCGAACATGCTTTAAATAATAATAAAATCATTTCCATCCATTCATTACATTAGTGTCCACTGTTTCGATTCAGTCAACTTTGGCAGATTACTTACATTATATATAGCGAATTGGTATTAGGCCCGTTCTAGCAGTTGTTACTTCTTTAAAGGCACTGTACTCTTTATGCAGATTGGGACATCCCCTCCATCAGCCTCTCGTCAGTTTCACTCAAATGACACTTTGAAAGGTTCACATAAATTTGAATTCACATAAATTTCCTCTTTAAATCTTTATCAGTACTCTTGCAAAACTACTCGATTCAGTTCACCTAACGTGGGTTTGTATGCTTTATAACTGATATATTGTGCACAAATGTTTCGAAAAGATTAATTCATTTAGTAGATGAAATTATTCAGAAAGTTAAATCCTAATTAACACGATCAGTAACCAAATAGTTTTAAGAATTTCCAAAGAACCAATTGCATAAATAGTCTTGTATTATGCTGACGTCTAGTATATATGTGCAAAGTGTCTTAAGGCCAAGCATGGGAGTTAGATGGAAGCCAAGTGAAGCGATGTACTTTCATTCAAGCTGTAAAATAACTCTCTTATTGAGCATTTCCTATCCTCCCTTACTACTACTACTCCCTTTCTGCCTTTTTTTCCTCTCAAATTCCCAACCTTAGAATAACTCAACTCTCCCTTCATCAATCGTCAAACATCCTTTTTTTTCACTTCGAAACTTAATCAATTTTTAAAAAATAAAGTTCTCCAATTTGGTTTCCTGAGAGCTTCCATGCTATGAAATTGAGTGTTCTATTTTTTGGTTTTTAATCTGAAATATAGCTCTTGAATTCCCTTTCAGAAGATTTTCAATTAAAAGCCGTAAACATAAATTAACACCCATTTGTCCCACTTCATCCCTCAGAGAGTTGTAAAAACAACAGTATATCTTTTTCTTGTAAGACCAAAGATATAATAAAATAATAAGCTGATAAATTTGCCGAGATATTCAAAGTTCCATAAAATGAAAAGAGAATATTTAGTATTTTTAAAAGCACAAACAAACAAGATCTTTATCGAACAAATGTGCAACATATGCAACTGCGGCTGATCTTTTCAGAACGAATAGTATAGAGTTCAACTTGAGGATTTGCGATCTATTTGACAGTGACTGAACTCGTTTAACTGTCCCATGTCCAGTTGTAGCAACAGTGCTGATAGGATTAGATTACGTCATTATCATTTAAAATTTAGCTGCAACACTGCTATTTAAAGGATAGATACTCAGTAATCGAAGGCACACTACTGATTGTTTTTCGAAATTTCAAAATAATCTTGAACTTCCAGATGTTACGTATCGCTAAAAAATCTAACGAGATTAAGCACAGCAAGGTGGGTGCTTTACCCATTGTTAGGGTCATAAATCTTTCTTTGTACTAGGTCTCTTAGAGAATGGGAACCATTTTTTTCCCGCTGCACAGAGCAATTTTTGCATTTGAAATTGAATCCTTCGGTATTAGTAGCCACTTTCATGCTTTACAGGAAGTATTCGTAGCGAAAAACGACCCAACTTTATTTCCTTTACAAATTATATTTTTAGTTTTAAAATCGCACATTTTTTCCACTTCATGGAATCACGAAATTACCAGAAGAACAACACGATAATCATAACAACTTTGTCACCAAGCTGAGCCTAACTACCTGCCTGATTGATGCTTTTGATCTTAACACTAGTACGTCATCTTCCTGAATACTCCGACCCCATTGCTACCTGCTCATATCTTCAATCACAAAGAACGGTCGTGTCTAGAGAGTTCGTCCAACGAACGTTCCGAAAATTCGGTCACACGTAAGGGGAGGGCAATTATCTGATTTGCTTGGCCGGGTGAGAGTAGGGCAGAGATGTCTTTTAGTACGTATATGTGTGAGGTCTCAAGAAGGAGGGAGGGGTAGCTTGTGCCTTTCTGAATGTGATTTGAAAAGAAAGGATAGCTCGTGTCATTCCGGATATGTGATTTCAGGAAAGAAAGATGGCTTATTTCTCTAAGGATGTTGTAATTTCAGGACGAAGAAAAATCAGCAGAGATGGGTCATCGTTTGTCTATTCATACGCAGGATGATAGTCTGGCTTCTGAAGGTAACTTCACGTTGAATTTATTATTTCATTCTAATTTTATAATTTTCAAAGTTCATTCACTAAATGATTGAATAACTTCTGACATCATTTGGGCTGTGCTGTAGTGGATTAAATAATATATTCATTAATGTTGAATGTTCATCAGTTTTGGAAGTAAAATGGTGTTCATATGATTCATTTATATTGTAATTGAAAGTGTGACTTCTTATTCTCCAAAATAAAGAAAAAGGACTGCGACTTTTTATCCCTGTTGGATGGAATTACAAGGTTTTTTCATTAACTACATGGTTATAATTGAATTGAAAATCATTGCTTCTTATTAATTCTTTTTCTATTACGTTACTGTTTCTATTAACCATTGGAATCGGAATGATTCATTTGATTTCATAAAATCTTATCTGAAATATTTTAATTTTATCATTGCCAAAAAAAAAAAAAGTTATTTGTGAATTTTGTAGTCTAGTATCTGCACTGCCAATGTTCTGAAGAGAATGCACACTTTGATAAACTAGTTTCATCGTTGAAGAGCATCGTTTTTAGTTCTTTTAACAAAATTTTTATTGATCTATTTTTCCCTCGTTTTTAGGTTCCGTTTTCCCTCTTCGTCATTGCACTTTTCAATCTTACAACCAGTTGCTTCTCGACCTCTTTTTGCAAAAAGTAGGCGTCAATTCAAAATTAGTAATTTTAAACATATGTGCTTTGATCATGCATTCATTCCTTTCATTCGGGATCATGCACTATCAACTATTTTTTGCTTTTATTTTGGAACTTTTTTGTATTTTCAATTTGTACAGTAATTTATCTTTCCAATTACAAGAAGCGTTTTTTGGACCTTTTTTTTTTGAACAGATGTTATAATTTTTTTTTCTTTCTTTTAGAATATTAAGCAAAAGATGAGTCGTGAAAACTAAAATTCAAAAAGTGGGCATAGTAAGTAGCCCATTCCAAAGTTTGTTTATAGCACGAATCAATATTTAGTGTTACAAATCCCAGAGGTCTGAGATCAAAGCCAATATTTTTTTTTTGAGAGAGGGAGGATATAAATTTATATGCTTATTTTTTTGGCTTCTTTGTCTACTACTTTTGCATGGCAGTAAAGTTATGCTAGAAAATGATTGATTATCTATAGCTATAAAAAAGTTTTGATTTCATTCGTAAACATATTTAAATATTGCAAAATTTTAATGTAGGAATAAACAGTATTTAAAAATATTGTAAAAATTCATAACATTTAAAAAGGAAGTGCTGATTCGAAGTTTTTTACAGAGTTAGTTTAAGTGGGACTGGGAAGTGAAGACATCTTTTTGTTATAATGATTTGAGCAAGAGCTTAATAATTCTCATTTTCTTAGTAACTTTTCCTCATAACGAATTTTATTGAAAATATCTGTGATTAAATAACAGAAAGCGATTGTCAAAGAGGCTACTGTGAAAAATAAGCGGGTAGTAAATTTCCATTATAGTGAGAACGAAGGTTTTCTCATTTAATCTCAAATTTTTACGGAGAAGAAGCAACTGCCAATTATCTTTGCTTGAAAATAATGGAAGTGATTTGAGTTTTTATTTTTATTTAAGATCTGAACCAAAAATGCACGTGTTTAGGATTTACAATAAGATAATATAAAGTGGTAATTGTGACCTCTCCTGTCATCATTATCCTGTGTTTCCTGATCGAATTTCACTAAGATTAGTTCATCAGGTGCAGTTTTATATTACATTATTCTACATTCTAAATCTCTTTCAATGCTGCAATTTATTCAGCTCTTACGTTATATTTTTATTTTTCGAAGTTTCTTTCGAGATGATATAGCTGTGAGTAGCAGATTCCTAATCTGCTTACGCCAGTTTTTTCATTTCAGGAATTTGCCAAGAATATCTAAGTGATCATTGAAATCCGAAGAACTCATCTGAAAATTGCTGTCGTAGTCAATCATATTACCTGATTATTTAATTATCCTGTGTTCAGTTAATTTATATACCAAGAAAAGAAAAAAATATTTGTAGAATTGAAAGTAAAATCCTGTATTTATTATTAAAGCCCCTCAATTTCTTCATACTGGAAGAAAATAAGAAAGTTGTAAAAACTGATCACAAAGCAGTTTGGTTGTATTGGATGAAGATTTTACATTAATTTGAATGTAACTTTCAGGAACGATTTTTTTTTTTTGATATGAAAACCTTTGCTTTGAATCAACTTAATATAGTTAAAGTAGGCTAATGTTATATAACCAAGTCGAATCATATCATTGTAAAATGTAACAAGCTTTCCATTCTTACCACACAAACGCTTTTTCTCCTTTTTATCGTGATCATGAGCACTGACATCAGATGTATCTTCTACACCTAGTTTGCTTACTAACTCTGATAGTATGTTCAGTTTTTATGCTGTTTAATCTCTCTCCTATAACTACCAAATTGTGTTCATAAATTTCAGGAGTTCTTTGTTTGTTTCTAACTGAAAAATCTTTCACTAATTATCGATCCCCTATCAAGGAATAGTAAACTCCTTTATGGGTACTAGATTAACTGAATTTCATATTTGATTAACTGAATATGTGGATGATGAAAACAGATAGATATAAGCTTCTTTCGCTTGCTTATCTGACTGTTGGTTCGTGCAGAGATTTCAATCGTTTTTTTTTTTTTCCTAGACTTTTCCGTAATTTCTTTATCTCTTTTCTTTTTAATTTGCACATTCCTCTGTGGCTGAAGATGATAAGTCAGTTTTTCAGGATTCTGGCAAATTTTGGAATATGTATTGATGGTGATTTCTTCCTAATTTTCGATCATTTTTTTTGGGAAGAATTAATAGTAATATTATGTTAGTTCAAGTTTATAAGCACTTATTATCTGAATTAATGAAACCATGAAAATACTAGTTGAAGTGGCGCTTACTATGAGGAATGAGAAGCATTCGCTAGATGAAGCAGAAAAAATCTGAAAACTATGCTTGAAACATACTGTTTTTTGTGATATCTTGTTTCATAATTCATTTTCTTTTCGATTATTTTCTAATGCGTAACTTTTTTATTAACTCCTCCTGATAGGTCTGAATAAGGGTGATTGGCTGATTTAACTTTAGTGCTAAATTATTAAGTCTCTTGTCACTTTTGCGATAATTGAGGCAGCTGCAATTGACATACTCAAATTATCAACGTTTCCCATATGCATTACTTTCTTTACCAATTAGATTCGCTTGAGTTTTCCCCAAGCTGCATCTAATGTTAAACATGATTGATAAAAAAGCTATAGCTGTAGAATACAGTGACGCTGCTACGTGTTATATTATCCCCCCGTCGTCATTTAGTATGCTTTCATTTCATACAAACATTCATCCCCATATATTAAATACATAAAAAGGAACTAATCATTTTATCTCTTTTCTATTACGTAGAGATTGAAAGTTCACAAATATTTAATTGAACAATTTTAACACCTAATAAATGGTAAGTTAAAAATGCATATTTTATGCTTCAGCCAAATTTTTGGGTCTTTTGACTTGCTAAGAATTTAATTTTTTCTTAAACTTCATAAAAGCTTAAGAGGAGCTATAATGTAGTAAGTCTGGAATTCGTAAAGGTATACAGTTTTGTACTTCTGTCTACAGATTCCTGCCGCGTTGTGTCCTTTCAACTAGTTGTGTTTCTTGTCTTTTTTTATTCACTATTTCTGAAAGTCAAAAATTTTTTACCACTTTGCTCATTTTTGATTTTTTTCTAAATTGCTAGTAGAAATAGCGTATTTTGAAGAATTGACCATTCATATATCGTTTTTACCCCGGAAATCAAGTCAGTCTGAGTTGATTAATGCTGGATTAGGTCGATCAGGTATAATCATGGAATACCTGAAGAAAATTTATAGACGTACGACAGAAAAATTTGCGAAGAGCACAGCGTGCTAAAGAATAGATCTATTTTTTAAAGCATTTTAAAACTGATTAATCTGATTTTCACTCATAGCTGGGTCCCTAGAAAGAGTTACAAAAATAAGACAAGAATGATTTTCACCTTGATAGGTTTATTTTCAAGCATTATATAAGTATTTTGAACATGGCTACTTTCATGGTTGACCCATTGTGCAAGTTTCTGTATTTCTTTCGGACATATCTTCAAAAAGTTCTTTTAAAGAGATTTTTTTTTACATGAATTTAAAAGATGTATGAGGTTGATAACAATACTAAAAGAATTTGGCTGATCGTTGAAATTTTTTCTTTTGTTATTTTCGGCAAGCATTCACATTTTAACCTGTTTTGATATGTAGGTGACATTTTAACTTAGTATTAGTATCATTGTATATTATTCCAAGAATTAATTCTTATTAAATATTTTGATTATAAGAATCATAGGATTTGGCTTTATGCAATTAACTAAGATAAATGCAACGAAATTTTGAAGATTATGATCACATTTTTTAATAATATTTTCTTTTATAATCTAAACGTTTAGTAAGAATTTTGAATAAATTCATTCACGCTTTTTTAATTTATATAAATCATCAGCTACCTTCTAATATTCCCATTTGCACGTGCTTCGAGCAGGGAACTGTAAAAATATCCAAAAATTTTCGAATTCAGTTTTTTTTTTTTTACATTTAAATTGAACAGATATGAAAACATGTTGACGAATGTTATAGTTCGCGTCACTGATAGCACATTTTCCTTCAAAAATGATGTAGTGAAGCCTTTCCAGGATTTGCGTAAAAGATTTTTCTTTTTTCCACGAAGTTTAATTGTAAAATGAAATTCGGTGTTTTTGAATTCATTCTTTTTCAAAATTATGTAATGATTTAATTCAGTTAGTAAATACGAATGTATATGGAAAACTTATATATAAGATCAATAGTTTGCTTACGATTTTTCTGTCATTAATGTCGAATATATGAATTTTCCGATGGCTCTGATTAATTCTGTCCATTTCGATTAAGAAAGAAATGTAGAAAACAGCTAGAACCGTAGCGAAGTAGTAATACGAAGTGATTATGTTTAGAAATACTGGAATAGAATAGGAGGAGAATAATAAAACGTAGTAGGTCCTTAACCAGCCTCATTTCCTTCCACACTCCATTCGGAATACCTGTTTGATTGAAGATAACACACTTCATCATTCTTTATCATATCTTACCATTCTTGTTTTGAAATAGATTACATCTTTAATTGATATTGTTTCTTACAGCTACTTTCAATACTTCCCATCTTCATTTCACTTATCATTTGCTGCATGATTGTCAGACAAAATTTAATTCGTCCAGTTCAAGATTTAAGGCTCAAAAGGCACTTTTGTAGGAATTTTTTTTTTAATTTTTTAACAACCTTCATTTCTAGTATATGGAATTTGTAAGTTTTGTAAATTTTATCGTTTCAAGCGAAATATTTTCACGTATGTATAAATCATTCTTCGATCTAAATCTTATCATATACTGGACTGCATTACAAACATGCATTAACCTGCGTAGATGTGCATAAGATGTACTGTTTTCATTTGCCCATTTCTTTCAGTTTTTTCGCTTCAGTGTTTTTATGTAAGTAGCTTTCAATACATATAGCTGTTGAATTATTCTAATGTCAAACTTCAGTTTTTCATTTTACTTCCCATATGTGTTGAGCTATTTTCTTCAGTGATCTTTACCACAGTATTTCAAATAAAGAGAAGATTCCTCTGTTTTTTTTGCAATAAAAATGCAGTGTATTTTTTATAACTTTCTCGCAAGTTTCCGTTCATCGTTATATTAGCAGGATTCTTGTAGCCCATTTGTAAACTTTTGTCCATGAACTCTTGATTTTTATTTACTACATATCTCTTTGCAGTCGTTGTATATATATTGTACGTTATTCGCAGATATATCACCATGGTACACATGGAGAATTAGAGGAACGTTTCGTAAAAAATTTTAAGTGTTAGAACTTTTCTTTTTCATCAGATTATGTAATCTTAAATTTGTGCTGTTCGTGATTTCTGCTATCTTCGAAGTTTATCATTCATCACTATGAACTTTTCATTTACTGTTGAAAGTAGAGCCGGTTTTTCCGTCACTTAATGATTTAAGCCTTACTGCTATTATGATAATTACGAAAGACGCTTCTACATTTGGAGATATTTGGCATGAAAATGTCAACGTCATCTTGACTTATGTCTGAATTGCGTTAACATTGATGTGTAAGCATTAATTTGTTTTTTGTAACAATTTAATAAGTTTTCTTTAAGTTTTTTTCGCTTCAGATGTGTCATCATTAACTGGATCATTGCGTGATGATATTGTCGTTGGTAGTAGTGATGCAGTGTTATTATCATCCACACAACAACCAGCCATTCGTCAAAATGTCTCAGCACGTCGAGTTGTACGCCCTTCACGCGAAACACAAGCTGGATCCAGTATGACTGAAGAGTGTGTTAGCAGTACTGTTACAGAAATTGGTGGAAATGGTAGTAGCAGCAGTTTACGGCGACAGCATCTTTTCAATCGTTCGCATCGTGCTTCACGTGAGCAAACCGTAGCTGTTCGCAACTTAAACTGTGCTTCCAGTTCTACATCACACACTACAACTATGGTAGTAGAATTGAATGGTTCTCACTCACGTACCCAGTCGAATGCTAATCCTGTGGTTTGTTTCTTCACTTCAATTTACAAAATATGATACTGTACCAGATTTGATATCTTTCACATCGCACTTTAGTACATGCCCATTTATATGTTCATTTAATAAGTTTCATATATAATGAGTCTTCGTTTGACTACTTTTAGATTTTCTTAGTCGTGTAAATTAATCAAATTTTAAAACATTTTCAAACTCTTTTTTTACAGGGTTCTTGTTATGAGGACATGTTCCGTCCAAGTCGTTTTGACCAAATCATCAGTTCTTCGCCACCACCACTTGAAGTAATGGAAGCATATGCATGGAATCCAGATGATCGCTCACTGAATATTTTTGTTAAGGATGATGATCGATTGACATTCCACAGACATCCCGTTGCTCAGTCCACCGATTCCATTCGTGCTAAGGTGAATAAGCATTTAAAAACATTGCTCATTTCTGAGAATAAGCACTTTTCACCTATCGATTTACTTGTTTTTTCTGCTTTCCTGTTTTTGTTTTATTGATTTTTCTTCAATGTAAAAGTTACTTTGGATTTAGCTTTCTTCAAAAAGAGTTTCTTAACCAGATTTCAATTTCGAAGTACATTTGACCAATAATTCATGTTGCGAATAACAATAAGCTAACACTGAGTAAAATTCAAAGGAAAGAGTATTAGTTCCATTAATTCGAATTTGCCTCAAGACAAGAAAAGCGTCTCACGTTTTATTGCTCACCGAAGGCAGTAAAATATAATTTGTAGATTTAATTTTTTAACATTGTAGTAGTTGTAACTCTATTTATCATCAATAATTTTTAAATGTGTTTTTCTGTGATAAGTTTAACTTTGTTGATTTGCATTCTTAACATTTCAGCTTTACTAATGATTGCATTCTAATATTCTTAACATTTTTGTATTTCAAGATTGGTTTCTCGAAGGGTTTTCATGTTTGGCAAATTAAATGGCCACAGAGACAGCGAGGAACTCATGCTTCTGTCGGTGTAGCAACGAAGGCGGCATCATTGCATGCTGTTGGTTATACCTCACTTATTGGTTCGAATAGTGAATCCTATGGATGGGATTTGAGTTAGTTTTTTTGCCTCTTTTTATCTGCGTCCATTATTACAACTTTCTACCTATATCTGTGAGCTAGACTTGGAAGACTTGATTACGTTGTTATGATTAGTTAACTGTTAGTTGCAGTGTGAGAGAACTGCAGTTCTATTTCTTAACTATGAGTGTTGCATTCACATTTTCTGTGAAAAGCTCTCCTGATTCTCTTCAGTCAGGATCTTCCGTATCATTTGCTTTATTCGTATGATTATTTTCGTAATAAATTTCATTATTTTCTTGAAAACTAGTTGAATTGGAAGGATTATATTCTTTGTTTATGTTAGTATCGTGTGTAAGAAATTCAAAAGCTCTTTTACTGGTTATCTAACTTGTTATGAATACAAGAAGACTAATTTTATCATTTCTGAGAGGATTAATTAACTTTAACAATGCATTACAACAAGCCAATAACTTACTGTCTAAAATATTTTTCTACTTTTCACTTAAGTTGAAATTGTCAAGTTTTGAAATTGAAATGATGATATCATTTAAACTGGAATATTAAGAACAATTTTTAGTACGCAATAAGTGTTATCATGATTCAAAGAATACAAGTGGTTGGACATATCCCAAATCTATACTGCTCGATGAGAATCATCTGGCACCTGATCAGTTTTACTGCATTCTTGACATGGATGAAGGATATATGGCATTTGCTTCTGATGTCGATTATTATGGTGTAGCATTTACGGGTTTGAAGGGTCGAGAACTATTTCCAGTTGTTTCCGCTGTATGGGGTCATTGTGAAATTACGATGAAATACCTCGGAGGCCTTGATCGTCAGTTTTATAAACTTTTCAGTATTTCATTTTGTAACAAATTAAAAAAATGAAAATTCTAAATTAAAATCAGTCTTGCTACCAGTATTATTATATAAGTAACGTTCATTGAAAATTGGTTAGGACCAAAGCTGCATTTTCAGTTTTTTTAATTGGTTGGAAGGCTTTTAGTATTAACCAAGTGTATATCAATTTTGCTATTGTTTTGAATTTTTTTTTTTTTTTTTTGGTAGTAGTGATACTTTTCTAGTTACGATTTTGTCAAAAAAGCATTTCCGAATACCGGAAGTTTCAAAAATACACGTTGTCGCATAACTGAATAACGTGGAATTTTAAATGTCATTCATCACATAGATGTATGTCAAGCATTGTGTCAGGAGGCATAAGTTGTTTTTAGCGTTTTTTCATTCCTCATACTTGTTTGCTTTTAATAGTATCAAAATCTTGTGATTTTTCAGTGACGTTTGCAACAGAAGTTTAGAAAAGGTTATATGATTTAATGTCCACTAAAATTTCAAATTTGGATTTCTAGACATTGAAAAGCTCTTTTACCTCGAAATATAGAGCGATGAGTAGGCATAGAATTGGTCAGCATTCAGATAAATTAGTCAGTTTCCAAAGATATCAAGTCTTTGAAATTTAAAAAATGATATGATAAATAAATGCAGTTGTAGTTTTATTCGGATACTTATGGGATGTTTTTATTTTCTGTACTAATTAGGGGCTCAGTTCCAATGGTTTTTGTCTTTACTGCTTTTGGCGGAATATATTTTTTTAGTTTTTAATTTTGTTTTTGGCAACATCTGGGGCTATTTTAAATCTGTTTTTCGTTTTCTTCTTCAAAAGGAAAAAAGGAAGATAGGTTTTCAATCAACTGTACAGCAAATTTTTATAGAAGTATTTAACATTTTGTTTGTTTATAGCCGAACCGTTGACACTTTTGGAATTATGCCGACGATCGATTCGGACATATCTAGGAAAGGAACGTATTTGTCGAGTGCGAGAGCTGAGGTTACCATCTGGCCTGAAAAAATATTTGCTATACAAATGCTAATTTTCTATGTCTCACTTTTTCCTGATTTCCTACATATTTTATCCATTATATTACGGGTTTTCTGCCAAATTAAAAACTGTGACGAATGAACTACTTTCGGAGATTTTGTAATTATCATATTGTGATTTTATACCTTTTCGTAAAGTTTTACTCTTAAACATGCATTTTGCAATAAATCATTCTATCATCATAATCGTCATTCAAAATTATAAATTAGTAATTGATTTGTAATCCGAGATTTGTAGACAATTTGCATTATTTAAATTGAAAAGAGCATAATTTTGACTGAAGCAGTTGCACGAAGCAGTTGCACGAACTTGATGTGTTTTTAATAGATGCTTTATCCTTGAAAAGGACTTTAAATTGATAAATTGCGTTTCGAAATCCAAATTCGAAGGCAAAATTGTCTCTAACTTTATTGTATTTTACATGTATTTAGGATATGTGTGTGTATGTTTAAGTGCTGTTTCTTGATTCCTGTTTATGCAATAATGCTTATCCACATTATTTCGTATTTTAATCTTTCTTTTTAAAAGGCTTGCTCACTTATGTTATAAATTCTAAAATATTGCTTATGTGTCGCTTTTTGTGCTTTTAGCGTATTTAGTGCGTTTTTCATGATGAAATTGCAATTTATTAGATGTATAATCTGGGTTTTTTCTCAACATTAGTTTCAAAGTTATCTTACACCTAACGTCAGTACTCTCGCTGACTGATGGTGGAAGAAAGTGCTCAAATTCTTCCTTGATTCTCTTTGCTTTTCAATGTTGAATGGGAATAGAGATTAATCTTGTCTAACAATTTCACTTTTCCAAAAACTTTATTGAAGTGTATCTAGCCCGGTAATGTTTTGTTGTACCATTTTGTGTTTTGCTTCTTTATATGAAAGTGATGTTTATATACAAAATTATTTGGAAATTTTACAAAGAAAAGTCTGCCATATATATGTTCAGCAGTAGTAACAGCAAAGCTTTTCACAAGTACTAGTTGAAAAATGTATTTGATTGTGATAAAATTTCCATTACTTTGCCTGAGATGAGCTATCTGTTGATCCGATTGATCAGTTAAGCAATGGAGTAAGTGGGATCATTATCATGGATTACGTCGGGTTACCGATTTAGTTCAATTCGAGCTCATAGTATGTCAAGAGAATAATAAGTAGGGCTGACTTGATCCGTGTGGTTATTGTTATAACATGTAGTTATTGCATTTCTCACTTCTAATTTATATTGCAAGCTTAAGATTATGTGCACTTATTTTCAAGTTTTTGAAAAATCAAGTGAAGATTTTGTAGTTGCGACCTTAGGTAAAGACAATATAGGTTGGGCAAGAGTGGGAAGATCTACGCAAGGGCCAAATTTGGTCCAGGTTTTCCATTCATGTTAATTATCAACATAATGTTTTGTTACACTAGAAAAAAGTATAAGGCAAATAATCTGGGATGTTCAAGAATGAAACACAATTGATTTATAGTTTTTTTTTAATCACATAATCGGTCATTGTTCGAAGTGCTGATATCATTTCTTCACCTGGAGATAGTTGGTTTCCGATGAGTTAAAATGGTACCTTTCTCATAATCTTTTACTATAGAAATTATCACTGCAGTTTTTTTTTTGAAATTAATCTAATAATATTGCTGCTTAAAAGTTTGCAGAATTTTATACTACCTAACATCGATTAGTGCTCAATTTCTCTTGTTCACATGAAAATGTTGCGAAGAATCAAACCAATTTTGTTCCATTCGTTTTTTTCGAGAATTGCGTACTACTATTGCATTGCAATTTTTTTTTTTTGAAATTGAAAATAGATACTGGCAGCTCAATCGCACTTACAACTAACTCATCTATCATCTTCGGTAAAGATTTGAGCTACTATTAATACTTCAATAATTTTGGCTACAGCTAACCAGTGGGTTCAATAAAGCGTGCTGGAATAGTGAATCCAAAGTTATTATCTGCATCTTCAGGTCTAAGCTCGATACCGTAGATATAGGGTACACCTTTGTCCTGCATATAATCAATACTTGTTCCTGATGCTCGATCTATATTAATATTGATTTACATAGAGGAATTCAGAATTTAAAATGAATTTTAATCCAGTATTTTCAAGATTATTATGCTTCTTAAAATATCTCTGTAAATTTTATTGCAATTTGTTGTTCCGTGAGTTTTCTGCACGTAAAATGTATTTTTAGCTCAAAAGTTATGCTGAAATAATTCTTTTGGGCTAGAAACATATGAGAAAACTAACACATTAGTTCGGAAATAGTCCCATAGTCATACTTTGCACCAGTTCTCTTCCGAATGGCCTCAACTGCTAGGCTTGCTGCCTGCTTCTGCAATAATCAACAACATGTAAATAATAACACATGCATGCTTAGACTTAGAATACGACGATATTTGCAGCAAGTTAGTTTCTGTCATTGCAGTAATCAAGGTATTTTTTATTATTTAAATTTGTTTATTGACAAGTCTTAGAGAACTCGGAGTAGTTTTGCTACTTTCTAGAAAATCTTTATTGGTATGCCTTGGATGGACAAGACTTCATTCAATAACATATCAAATAAGAAGAAGAAATCAGGACTTAATTTTACAAGAACTCACCTGATCATAATAATTATTGGGTCTATCATTTGTATAACCCCATGGTGCGAGGAATAGCTGTCCATAGCTATGCAAACTAACATAAACTTTGAGATCAAGAATTTGATATGTAATAAAATCGCGGATACCTGCTGTTTCTACTTCACTAAATGCTGTTGAGCCAGGGTAAATATTTGAACACGGACTACGATTTGCTCCTGCCTCTGTAAATTATTCAATTCAAGTTATTTAAATAGTTGTCCATAGCTATGCAAACTAACATAAACCTTGAGATATATATCTAAAATTTATTGAACAGTTGTTCAAAGTTAGAGAAATATATAATATAAGGAGCTTATTGCTTCGGAAATCCATATATCAAATAATAAAACAAAACTAATTGAAGCTAACCTCCCCATCGATAACCCCAATTTCTGTTCGCGTCAGCACCAACGCACCACTTGTTAACTGTCACGTTTCTTGATCGTGTTTTTCTCCACAATCGATCCTAGAAAGTGATGCCGGACAAGTAGACGTAAGTCCTTCGATTCCGGTTCATGGTATCTTTCTGTCTTGGACTGCCTTAAACTTTATTGTAACTTGTTCAAATCTCATTCTTAAAAGATGAAAGCCAATAATATTGTCGAGGTAATGTTTTTCAGATCTTTTATATCAAACGAACATGCACTTTGCTGCTGATTTCTTTTCGTTTATTTTTTGATACTTCCTTAAGAAAAATGTTTAATAAATATTTTCTCTTTTGGTACGTACTGCTTATGCAGAAGTTATTGGCTAACATCTTTTTCTTGAAAGCAAATGCGCTATAATGTAGCACATCTTTTAGGATATGAGTATAATATAAAGTTAATTGATTATATAATCCTAAAATTCTTAATGCTTTAAAATATACAGCTAAAATAGACGAAAGGAATGGAAAAGCAATCGAATTAATACATAGACCAAAAATATCTTTTGCAACTAGAAGCATTCATTGCAATGTTTTTGGGCAATATCGATTCTAACAATTTGCACTTCACTTTTTTCATAAAAAACATTTCAAGAGATTCTTCTCTAAAGATTTTTTTGAAACAATTAGCTTTTTCATTTCTTAAACAGACCAAGTTCAAAAGCCCTTTTTAGTGTATATATTCGCAATCTCACTGAACTATAATTGATGTGCTGAAATTGTAAACTCAAAATTCCAGCGAGGGATAATATATATTTACATATTTTCAAATAGAAAAAAAAAAAACAAATTTTATTTTAAATCTGAAATTTTGTCAAATTGATGCTTTTGAAAATGAATCGAAAGTGCGCGTACAGTGGTCATGCTGTATTCGTATCCATCCGGATTAGCTACCGGGACAATATACCAGTCGAATTTATCTATCATATGTGTCAGATTAGAATCCTTCTGATATTCGGTTACAAGCTGAAAATATTATTTATTTAAGTTCCATTTTTCTTCAAATACATACATAATTGCATTACTTTTTTAGAAGTTTATCGAAGATAATATTCCAAGATATTCTTTTCTAATGATTTATCAAATATTTTAAATGAAAATTTGACCTTAGTGATGATATAAAGAGCTACCGCGGGTGCTATCCATTCTCTGGCGTGAATGCCAGCATCAATGAATATGGCGGGTTTGAATGAAGAACGTGATCCAATCTATATTAGATATATAAATTATTTTGATTTTTATTCATGTCGAAAATACTTCGTTAGTTGATTTCCTCATTGAAGTTATTCTTGTCACTTTGGTGATGTATGATATCAAATTTGAAAGCATATCATAAGGTCTATTTTGATGAAAAGGTCCACCACTTTTTTTCTGATTTCCTTAGACTTCACTTAATCGACAACTTTGAATTTCATTAGCGAAAAAAAAAAAACAGAACAAAACAAAAGAAACAAACTTTAATGCCAATTAAATCACGACCCTCATATGTTTTAGTAATGTTAAATATTTCAGCTAAGTTTGGATGTAGCCTGGACAGCTTTCTCAAGTAGTCCACAATCTGTAACATTCATTTAGATAATGATATGTACTGCAAGATAACGAAGTAATTAATTATGAGAAGGAGAACTTCCAAGGCATATCGATTGATCGATGATTTTATATATTATCAAACACGGTCTGCAAATGCAAGGAATTCCATCGAATTTGTTAGGGAAAAAGATTATATGTAACTCAACTCTACTCCTATTCAATCAGGAGATAATAGCAAACCTCATCATAGCGATGATAAGCAATAAGGTTGAAGTTAGCTAACGAGTTATTACTCACAGAACGTCGCGAACGATATTTCATTGCATAAGCTAAATCTCTCCTCTCTCGATCTATTTCCCTGCAACTTTTCATATCTAATTCCACTCTTAGAAAACACCAAATTTCAACTCGTTAATAGCAAACCGATTTGATGACAAATTGCGCAGACTGCTGTTAAGTGCAAATTTTGTTTATTCACTCTTATAAATTTCAGCCAAAAAAAAAAAATAGAACAGTTAAGAAAAAACATAAAACATTTAACAATGTAAGCATTCATCATCGCTCGAACAACTTTCTGGAATATTATGATAAACTGGTTTACGTGAAATCTATTTGAAAGCAAAAAATATCCTTCATAGGTTCCTATTAGCACTTTGGAATGTTGATAACTAATTAAGCAAACTAAACAACACCTTCAAAAATGTCGTCAACGAGATTTTCAGAAAAGCTTTTTATTTTTTAAAAATTCTTCCAGTCAACAACTCATATAATTTTGCTTTTTGTTATTGTAATAAATATGCAGAACAGGAAAATCCCTGTTGTCTTTGAAAATCTGTATCGAATTATTGCATTTGTTGAGAGTAACCTACTTTTGTATGTCATTTGCAACGATCTGTATATCGCTGATATCCCGCATTCTGAGTAAGGCCAGGAATGAATCCAAATATTCTGGTGCAACCAATACATCGGCATGGTTGCGATACATATTCGGCTTCGCCCATATATCAACAAGAATCCTTTTCGTTTCCAGAAAATTAATAACATCTTATAGTCATTGAATTTTTCATCAAGAAATTTTTAAAGATTTGCATTGATCCTTTTCTCAATCATGCCTCCAAAAAAAAGAATGAAAAATGAATCGAAGTAAAAATTTGGATTGTTAAAATTCAAATGATTGAAAGTTTAATGCAATAACAGTGGAACTGCAAAGCTTATTATTTGATGATCTCGTGTAGGACTGGCTAAAATCAGTGAAGTTCAACTTGCATTATTTAAAGCAAGGCTATCGGCTTCTATTTGATCCAGCCAGTCTGTTGTTACTGTTGGAAATCGTAGTAAGCTGTATCTAAATTTGCTTCAAGTTGATAAAAATTGCAAGACTCATTTTATTTTATTTCATCCCACTATGCAGTTTTTTAATAATTATGCAACTTTGTGACAAATCATAATATGTCACAAATCATATATAGCACGAAATTTTCGGGAAATGCTGGTCACCATTTTTTTGCAATTCAATTTATTCCAGTGCAATGAGATAAATTCAATTATCTGATACATGTGCAAAATATAGTTCGAGATATAATACTGTATAAATATTATTGCAAAAGATTTCAATGAAAGAATGAAATTGAAGGGAACATAAAGGCAAACTACCCGTGGTATTGTTGTGTTGCACTACACATGTACTCCAAACGAAGGGTAGTAAACAGAACAGCAAAAATAGCCAGCATCTGCAATTGTAGTCAGGGTAAAACATCCTCGCAGGAAATACTACACTTATAGCTATATAATATTACTGTATCTTTGAGAATGATATTTACATCTGGATGATAGAATAGTTGTTTGAGGAAAGAAAGTTATTAACTTTTCACTTTGAACTAAGTAAAAAGTCAATACTGAAAGAAGAGGGAAAAATGAAATCGAATTGCAACACCGAAAAAAGAATTGCATTATTATATAGTATTATTATATGTTATTATTGCTTTTTTCCCATTATCATTATTTATTACTATTATTGTTATTATTAGTATTGCTGATATTTCTTATTGTTATTATTAAATATTATTACGATATTATCATTCATTACCATTAATTATTATAGCTGTCATATTGCTAATTCATATTATTATTACTGATTATTGCGCTATTATTATTTGATTACTGGTGCCATAATAATTACTAACATTGGTAATTATTATTACTATTAAACGGCTGGTCAAACTGTTTGTTGTCCAGCATCTAAATTTGAATTTTGGAAGCTAGCTAAGAATCACTGATATGTTTTAACGCAAATAGAGCAAATAAGGAAATAGAAAAGTAAAAGTATCAGTAAAGAAAAATACCGCATATGTCACTATATCTTTAGCAAAGGGTTTTTGAATCTCATTGTCTAATTCTGAATTGAAAGTTGTCAATAATGAACATCACGAGGCAGTTATCATTGTTTCCCTTAACCATATTAAATTCAGAAAAATAGAAAACAGCTATGTAAAATCAAGTTTCTTTGATGAATTTTGTGGAATAAGTGATGAAGATAAAACTTTATAAAATATTACCATTTCGTGTTGGGACAATGGCAAGTTATAGAACACTGCAAATAAAAATGATTGCTAGGATGATAAGACGACGGCTTTTCTTTTTTCTAAAGTCATTTATGTGATTTGAGAAAATTCTAGTTTTTTTTTTTCATAACTACGAATTAGTTATTCCGAAATTAATTGTTCCCAATAAATTACATTACAGTGCTAATACTTTGTTATCAATTGAAAGTCAGAGAATGATGTTGTAAATATGAAAGACAAGTCCCTCCTTTCATGTCAGCTGAAGTCCAGGGTGTAATATTTATTTTCTGCTAGCCGTCATCGAAATTTTTCAATGTCCTATAATATCTCCCACAATAATCTCTTCTCTGAGAAAATGCTTGATTTATAAAATGAAATAAATTCTTCAGGGAATACATAGAAGTACGAATGATATAAAATGAAAGCTACTGGTTGATAATTAATTAAGTACAGTACATTTAAGTTATGGCGAAATAAAAAGGACTGATAAAGCAGACAATTGAAAAAGCTAACTGTCATTGTTGATGTTCACTTCAGCAGGAAATCCAAAGTTTTGTTTATGTTTCCTTAGTTGAAATATTATCCGAAACCATATAAAATGTGCAGTTTAGATAAAATTTGCGTTACAATCAATTCTGAATAAACAACCTTTTAGTAACACATTCAGTAGTATATTTCAGCACTATATTTATTATAGGATGATTTGATAGATAAATCTGATAGCTGTGAAAAAGTAGAAGCACAATGTAATCCTAATTCTCGATATTTGACATTGCTATAATAACTCAAAGATTTGAAAATCAATGTACTTACTTCTATTCGCTAGGTTTTCAAAGGTCGCAGTGTAGCAATATTCATTTTAGCTATCTATAAGACTGTGAAACGTTCAATGTGCAGAGCGTTCGAAGTTTTGAAAAAAATTAAATAATAGATTGAAGAAAAACTTGACTTTTCGTAAATTTCAATTTTATTTCCTGTCAGTTTCCACGATAATTGTAGGATGACAAATATTATAAAATAAAAGAATAAAACAAAAAGTGTAAGAGAGGTATGACTGACAATAAAATTTGGGCATATTTATGGCACTAAATATTAACGTAAATAAGGCTCGAGTAATGGTAATGGTAAAAAAGAATTATAAGTGTACCAGTGATTATGGAATTTCATTTCTAAATGAGATACTTATGAAGAATTGCAATTGCATAACAGATAATTAAATTTGTGAATATGTGATGGAAGTTTTTAAAATAACATTACTGATGAATGTAGAATAAAGGAGAATGAAATGATTACAGGAAGGAAGGAAGGAATGGATTGCAGAAAGAAGGAATAAATGAAAGCGATACAAAGAACTCAACTAAATCGACAGTTGAAATTCTAAAAATGTGCTAAAGCGCAAGATTTAATAAAAAAAAAACTGGAACGGTAGTGGCTTTAGACATTCAGACGTTTGCAGCTGTTCGTGAATGATGCATGGTTCGAAAAAAGTTCATTTTGCTGAATATTTAGTATCTTATAGAGATTGCTCTTCATAATTAGGGTTATATATTATCAAAATTGTAATTATAATGAAGAATCGAAAGTGTCATCTCCATACTGACATATACAGTCATTAATTCTTTAAATCTGTTTGTTATATCCATTTATGAAAAGGGAAATGATTCATCATCTGAGACTGCACCAATTCCAAGAAATAGCAATCAAGTCATGTCTTGCATTTTTTTTTTCTCTCAATCTTTACTTCATCCGTGCCGAAAAGTTCCCCGAAACTTAATAGTTGACAAAATTTTAAATAGTAGACAATAGTAGACAAAAATTTAATAGTAGACGAAAATTTAAATTTTAAATATGACCGACAATTTGGCATTATAGTATGTTATCAGTTAAAAATGAAAAAATTGCTTAATCAAATAATCTCTGACCTCAATGGATAGGAACGAAACATGAAAGATTTTGTGTAGAAAAGAATGAAGAAATACTTGTAGTTTACCTTTCAGTCAAAAGAGTAATGTGAATCAAATGCAAGAATCCAGGTAAGAAATACACCTTCTTTTTTCTCACATTTATACCATCCATACATTTGGTAGTTTTGGGGAAATCTAGTGGAATCAATTTAGGTCAAAGTCAACAATCGTTTGCTCTTCCATAAGTACTCGATTTGAGTACTATGACGAAATGCTGTCAAAAGGATACGGAGACAGTCAACAAGGGAAAGTGCTGTAAACATGCTTCCTTTTACTGTCATTGTAATAATTATTGACATAATAGTATCGGTAATAAGCACCGAATTAGGCATCGAACAGTAGGTAACGCATTCTTCCCACATACTCAATTCATAACACAAATATATCCCTGTGTGACAATAAGGTAATCATAAAATAAATTGGAAATGCATTTGAGAATAATCGCACTTGACATTGTTCATCTAGATGTTTAAGATTACAAGTGACCAATGAAAAAGTTTGGAGAGATACTCTCGTCTGATCTGAATTTCGGAACAACTCATTTTAATCCTTGCAGTCGATATACAAATTCCTTCCAAATTAGGTAATGTCACAAATCACCGCCACTCAGACATATCACCAACGGTTTGTATATTTTTATCGATTTAATTAAAGGTGTGGCCCCTATCACAGATACACAGATAGGTTCTTTTTCATTAATTGTGAACTCATAATTGGTATCTGTGAAGGATTTCTTGAATGACCTATTTAGTAACAAAATATTTTATCCATAGTTGTAGGATAACGTAAAATCTGGAGAACGTGACCTGAAAAAAACCGAGAAGTAATATAAAAACAACATAAAATAAAGAGGATTTCAAATATTGTGAAAAATGCAGCAGTATCTAGGAAATATCAGTCAAATAAGAGGAATTCAATCGCATCGATCTTGTGTTTTCCATATTTGTTCATTATTTATAATCACGCAATGTGGCGATACTTCTCAAATTGCAATTGTCGCGAATCATAATTTCGCGAAACTCTAACTAAAATAACAAAGTTAATTCAAAGAAAAACTAATAAATTATTTTTTTCTTAAATTGTAAACAATTTTACAGTTTCACAACCATTAAAAACAAATAAGTCATTGTCAACAGCCTTTTGCTTTATCTTATAACGTTATAAATCATTGTCAGAACTTTGATTTCTTATTTACTTTAAATACTAATCATTAATTTCATACTTTAAATTTCCATAATGTCATATTGTATCCTCGCCCAATTCTCTACATACATAAATGCAATCCTGATAAATAAGATTATTATTGTCGACTATAACCGTCATAACCAAACTCAATTTCCCCCGATTTTTACTGCTCAGATTATTGATAATACGTTTTATAATAAACTTACGATAATTTCACTGTGCAAATAAGAGCGTATTTGACGCCTACAACCTTTAATTCTACGTGCGGAATACAAGGATTAACGCAATTTCCTTTTAAAATTTGTATTTCACAAAACGACAACTTTTCGCGATAGCAATAACAAGGAAGAAAGTTCTGCATTTACATTAGCAGGAAGTTTACAGTTTGTTCACTTTCTGCACCAACACTGCTTCAAAATTAATCGAATGTGTGGAGAAATGACAAGCGAAACATAATCAAAACAGAACTTGAAACCTAGATTCTCGACTTAAACGATAATTGCATAGCTAATTCACGGGAAGATAAAAGCAGCAAATTTGGTGAAAGAATAGTCGAAAAAATAAACTGTTCAATTTATGAGAACTTGAAGCTACTCAGTACTGAAGCCTCAAATCAGCAAAACATTGTGATTTGAGGTTAATTTGAAGTATTTTAAATTCCCAGGATATAAAAAACCATTAATATCACCTATCCTTGCTTGCTGCACTTTTTTTCTCTGTAACTAAATTAAGTCACAATGTGAAATACGGCATAGCATGCACAATAATTTATTAGATGTCACAAGATCACAAATTTTTCTTAAACTGAAAAATCAAAACCTATGAAACAATAACAATAAGAATTTTTTTTAATTTTCTACATATTTATGTTCTTTATATAACAAACGTTAGAATAAGGCAACAAGAAAAAATCTACCACAACCATAAATAATCATATTTTTCTGGAAAAAAGATTCTTTAATATAAGTTTTTGTATCAAATAAATTCTTCACTAATTTCATGCAAATATTTGAATAACTTTTTGTTACTTAATTTCGTATAACATTAACAATTTTTAAAAATCACTCTTTCAGTAATAATTCAAGAAAATCACAATACGATTTCTTCACTGCATACTTCCGGGAGAATTCTTGAATTGCACGCCGACGTTTCGATGCTACCAGTTGATAGCTGCAATAAAAAAACATCATTCTAGAACAAAATCAGCATTGATTAGTGTTAAATTAAATTATTGTTGAATACTTTTGTGTATCAGCAAACCTTCTAGCTTCATCAACAAAGATGCTGATTATAACACTTACGAGTATTTTGAACAATCGGATATGTCCTAACATAGAATAGAAATTATGAAACTTTGCATATCGAACATACAGTTGACCATAGTTATAGGTAATAAAATTATTAACTAGACATCAAAAAGATTAAAACTCATATAAATAAAGCAGCAATTGAAAAAAAAATCTTGATAAACTTTTCGAGTTCAACAGTTCTTCGTCGAGCAATACTAATGACTGTATGCTTTAGAAGAATTGGTAAGGCGCTGCTCGAAACCAAACAACCATCAACCAGTGGTCCTGGTAAACCACATCTGAGACAAAAGTAAAAAATTCATTTCAATCTATTAATCGAAGATTTTAACCAACTCGCACAAATTGGAGAAGCCTAACAACTTACTTCGTCCAGTCTCCAATTATATTAATTCGAACAAGTTCGTTTTCCACTTCCGAAACGAAAATCATGATCAAGTCGGGTTTTGCATTATTGTCACCATTGCATAATGAATTATCCTTTGTCATAGGGAACATTTCTTCTAGAAACAATTAAAATTATAGATATTAAATCAAAATCATCGAAAATGAATATGCAATATCAAAATCCGTACCTAATATAACTGAACATGAAAAAATAAACAACATTTAATTTAAAACGAACCACATGGAAAATAATGCATGTCTTCGATTCTTTCCAAGAAAATCACATATACACGTTGGTCAAAACTACGCTTAACGAACGTAATCCTTTCCGAATCATCTTCTGAAATATGAGGCGATCCTAGAACGATACGGAAAACCACGGCAACTTTACATTTGAATAAAGTGTACACTTCAACCCGGAACTGAATTATTGCAACACAGCTTTCGAAAAAATGTATGGACTTGGTCAGTAGTTCAAATTGTCGTCTTAAGTTTTTTGAAACAGTTTTTTCTAAAGTCTTTTTAAATGACTTTTTGAGCTTGCTGCTCGAGATAACGTAAGCTACCTTTCGCCTCAGTGCCAGAATCAACACCTGAGCAACTCTTTTTGTGTAACGGCAGAAGTGTTTCTGCTAGCAACTTATTTGACCGTCCGCTGCTATTACCACTAGTTTGTCCAGCTGACCGTTCATCACTTAATATCCGACCACCTAAAAGAAGTTAACAAGTAATTGCTTTAGAAACTTCACAATTCAAAATTTCATTGAGAAAATTAAACAAATGTGAATAAAGTAACGAATAAATGGACAAAATTTGCTAAAATATGCGCATCCAAACTTATGATATTAATAGTATGATGCATTTCTAAATGTTCAAAGACAACATTTTAGAATTGAAAATTCTCCAAAAATAAATTCTTGAATACAAGAGAGTTGCATCCAGAATAATATGGATAAGCTATTCATTCCAAAAACGAACCAAAATCACGTTGTAACATCCTAGCGGCATGATCCGAATCACTGTGTTCATCAGAACTAATAACGGAAATATTCGTACCACAAGTGGTAAGTTCATTACACTTAGTTGCAGATTCCTGCTGCTTCCGAATGCGTTCTGTTGGTGTTGTGAAAGCTATTTCGATGTGTGGATCTGTCCACCATAGACAGTGAGTGAAGCCATCAATGATATAATTATCCAAATTCTCCTTCGCTTCTTCTAGCTCTAAATCTGAGAATTTTAATGAAACTTCAACAATGAACTGAAATTTCATCTTGAATTGCAAAATAGTACTAATTTTGAATTGCGTCTTAAATCATGTTTCAACCTATTATTGGATTCATCAAAAGTAGGCTTGAAAAATTGTCAGTATGTCAATATGTATTTGAAACCTATTTCTTTTACATTGTTCTTCTAATCTGATTAAATTTCTAATACTCAATTCAAAACGCTTTATTTTCATTTTAATTCGAAAACCAATAAAAGTTATTCTTATATTATCAGATTCTGAAAACGCGACCTTTATATCAGCTATTTAGAAATTTTGGATATGTCTCCAAATATTAATCTAAGATTTATTACAGAAATAAATATTTACTACGTTCAGCGGAGAAGGCTGTAGTCCAATCACCAGTCCAGTGAGGATGCGTTTCCACTTCAACACCTTCTCCTAATTCCGCTAATAAACTACAGAATAAGTTGCTTGTATTTTGCAGATTCATCTGAAAATCATTGATATACTCCTCGACACTGACTAATATATAACAGTCAGTGATAATCTAAATTAAAAAGATCCTTCGACTAAATGAAAAGATCGATTTGGAAGGCATGTGTAGTGCTATCTTCTATTCGAGAAACTAAATCCAGTATTATTTTTCGAAATAAATTATTAAGCCAAAAAACCTACCGCATTAGCAAGAATGTCTACAGCACTACGTTGACCATCACGAACATAGAATAAGCGAACAGTCTGCAGCAACTTTGTCGGTGAACGGTCGACCATATGATGCAGATCATGATAAAAATCAAGGCTGAAAGTTCCAATGATATTCATAATCAACATCATAATTGCTGTTATTCACCAACACAAAATTTAAATACAGCAAGAGTTAAATACTTTTTGACAAATATATCCGAAAAAAATGCTATAAAAGAAAAAAAAACATTTTTCCGAACTTTTTAATTCTAAACGGAAACTTACTTAGAAGAATCAAGAAGCAAAATATCGCCAGATTTGTAACTTTCTTCTGAAATTAAGCCCAAATCATAAAGAAGTACTCGGCTTGCATTACAGTTGGTTGATGGCCTGGAAACTTCACTTTTTTTTTTCAGAAAAAGAGAGATATAGGTCTATGCTGAGAGATATACAATTCAGCAAAAACTTTTGCAATTATTTTATTATTTCAATGTGATCAATTATTAAAAAGTGAATATAAAAAGATTTTTTTTCTCTTCCTAAATGTCACATCGTAATTAGTCATAGTAAATGATATGAACAATTCGCCAACTCTGTAGGCTCAGCAAGTTTAGACAATTCCTTTGAAAATGGTTCACGAAGCCAAACATTGCGATCGTCCGAGGAACGCAGACAACTTTCACCTTGAGACATTCTTTTTCGAATATCAGTCAGTTCAGCGATGACACGATCTGTATCCGGTGTTGGTTGCAGGGGAGGAATTACGGAGTCTCTGAATTGCAAAACTTGCAGAATTTTTATTTTCTGAATCATTTTTATATACCAATCTCTCGCTACGTGTCTCCAATTCTAATTCATTTTTTGGGCACCAACTTTTCAATTTGATTTATTCTATTTCAATTTCTTGAACTTACAATTTACAGTATGACTTTTCGAATTCGGATGGTATGTGGAAAAATTTGACAGCATTTTTGGAATCCGTTGAAATTTTAAGACCATTCTGGAGATATCCACTTTCTTTATCATTACTGACTGTATCCGTATCAGTTGCAACCCATGACTGCAGTTGTACGAGCAATGTATAAGCTGTATGGTAAGGAGTGCGTATTACCAGAAACACCGATGGAAATCCTGCAATAAAAATTCTACGAAAACTATTTTTACACTATTCCGGAAATGATTACTCTTTATAATAAAAATGGCAATGCAAACGATGAAAAATACTAAAATATTAAGACAGTTATAATTTAAGAGAAAAAAAAATTTCAGTTACTTATAGCAGTAAAGTGGATGTTTTCTTTTTATCAAGTTGTTGAATTAAAAATAATATCTTCACATACCTTTAGAGATGGTAGATAATTTGGTGGCTTCATGAACTGAAATCAAAGTCTGCTGTCGAACGAGGAAGTGCCTAAATTTTGTGATGTCGATCGCCTGATTACCAAATTTATGCAATAACCTCTTTTCATCCATAATATCATCTTGTCTACCATGACCCTGCAAACGACCACACTGATAATGATGCCTGCAAGAAGCCGATTGCTTGACTACTCAGATAAACACCTAAATCAGAAATATAAATTTCTGACAGGTCTATAAAATTTCTTGCATTTCCTGAACATTTGAGGCTTACGAAAGATTTGTAGAATAATAAAAAAACAAAAATGATGCGAAAAATGTAACTTTAGTCAGTGCACGATATAGCAGTCACTCACCAAAGCTGAAAATATCATATACAACAAGCTTTCAGCAGCATCATCTACTCGCTTACTTGCTGCTTTCCGTTCCATTGGAGGCTGAAAAGTAACTGAAATTGTTAAAATCCTATTGTAAGAAAAAAAGTACCAAAGAGGCTATTGGTGAGTCATTTTTTCAAAGCTAAAGAAACTTGAATAAACTAAGTTTTCAAATACTTCCACTCTCTTTCTAATTTATCCCAGTGCTTTGTTTAGTAACAATCTTTTAGTTATATTCACATTAGATACAGCGAACAAAACAGCTACGTTTGTTCAAACCAACATTCATCTTCCAAAAAGTAAAGAATGGATAAGTTATAGTTTAAAACTTACAAGATTTTTTCCACCAGTCAAGCCAAGTTCGATAGTTTCAGCTACAGTTGTTAAACAAGATTCTGTCTCCAGCAATGTTGGAGCTGCACATAACCAAACAGATAATGAAAAATATGCTGCTACAACCTTAAGAAACAAAAATTCATGCATAACGATCACCTGATCGTAATATCCCAATAAATAAACTTGCGAGATATTTCAAACAACAGAGCATTTAGAAAAGAAGAATAAGCCTACCGAAGAATGCAAATCTTTAGAGTGTAACGGAGGAGGCTTCATTAGTTGAGCGTCAATAAACCGACAAAGAGAAGTAATTATCAGAATACCTGTCGACAGATCATCTGAAATTCATAACCTATAATTCTAATCCGTTAACTTATGAACTAGAAAAAGGTTCAACAGAAAAATTTCAAAGCATATTTTTGCTCATAAAATGTTCAGAAATTCTATTCCTGAAGAAAGTTTTTATGTCTAATATCTTGTACTCTTCCGACTGAAAAAATTCATAGAAAATATGGCACAAAGATATGAGGCTTACAAGGATATTACAACGAACTTTCAGAGAACAAAACCGATTGATGTATAGTAGAAAGGGCATTCAGAAAATCCAGTGCAGCTAAACACACTGATAATTCGGATGACCACTGAGGTTTGCATAAATTGTCGCACACTGCACTTACTATCGAACGCACTATTGATGCACAACAGTCTGCAATTTCACTTATTAACTGATGAAATTGAAAACCAAGCTTTCTAGGAAATTCTTAAACAGTGGAAAGTTTTAACACTGCCAGCCAATTGTCAAATTTCTTTCCAAGTTAGTCCCAAGTAGTGCTACTTTCAAGTGTGATTAAATATATCGAGAATAACTTATCTTCTTCCGAACAAGCAAGACTTTTCCGTCCACTTTTTTCCTTATCGACATTCTTTTCTTCTTTTATATGTAAATCATATAAGCAACTCTCCTCACACAGTATTGTACACATAGCTAAAAAACATTTTTGATTTTTGTCACTTGAGGTGAAAGTGTTAACTAAACAGCGTTAACGCATCATATTTCAACTAAAGTGACCGACTGCAGTTTACTTAAAAACTTGTTGATACAAACAGTGATCATCTCATACCTTCTTTATCAACAATATTGTAATAAAATAAACAATACTCAGAGTGAGGAAGAGATTCATGGGATCAACTTCATTACGGAGTGCAGTGATAAGAATACGATGCATCCATGGACGAACTTCGATGTATGTGAATGAGTTCTGATTTGCGCTAGAATGTGGATTTGAAAGATCTGAAATGAAAAGAGACTTACTGCTCATTCACATAATTTGCAATAACAAATTAAAAGTAATAATTTTCATCATAATCAATAACAATAATAATTTACAACAGTTTATAATCATTAATGATAAATAATAATCTATTCGAAATCGCCAACAACCGTATTTAGTGATAGATTTATTTTTTTTTATTCAATCGTATTTAGTGATAGATTTATCAAAAACTGAAAGTCAAAGAACACAAAGTTTGTGCTGATATTTTGAAACACCGTATCATAGCTGGTCAAACAATCATTTTATAGATTGCGCAATAAACCACCATTTTTTATAGAAAAACCAATCTATAACATCTTAATTTTATAAAATAAAATTAGAATAAAAACCATGAAATGTCAAAAATTTTTTGTTAAGTATCATCACTTCTGTTAAATTTTTTGTTTTCAACTTACCACTGATGAATATATTTCCAAATGTTGTAGGCCAACTGATGATAGATGACAGGGCATTCAAACAAGCACGACGCATTTGAACTTCATCTATAGATGGATGAAGCCTGGAACAGTTAATGCTTCATTTTTGTGTAAATAAATAACTGAATCTTAGTTTTGAAAAAAGTTTAAAATAAGAGATTTTTATTATTGATTTCAATGATCAAATAGTATTTCAGCTAGTTGTACCATGTATTCCTAAAATAAATTAGAAAAGCGGACCGCATTGCTTCTTTGATGCAATAACTTTCACATCCTAATTAATCAAAATGTGCCTTCTGTTTATGAAATTGTCCCTTCGCAAAATCCAAATTTAGGGCTTCTTTCATTTGTGATAAAAACGGTTGCATCATTCTGCTTACTTAGAATTTTAAATCAAACCTTGATTTCATAGACTCCGTGTAAATCATTTCGAGTGTTTGAACGAATTGTGGCAAAAGTATTTCAACACTTTTTAAAGATAGACGAAAAATACCACCACCAAAATAAATAAGTGCACAAAGTATTAAGCGATCCTTCTGAAGAAAAGACAGGAAACGAAATTAAGTACTTAAATTTTGCAAAAGTTTTTAAAAGCAATGAATTTTTGGAGAATTTTCCGCTTTCTGGTATTGGAAAACCACAATTGGACAAGATTTGTAAATAAGAACATTTTAAACATCGAAATATTTTTATTTCATCTAATTTGGGTAGCAACAGTTTGGAGCACCTATTTTTAACAGCTGTGATTGTACTAGCATTTTGGTCTTCATATTGCATGCTTATATATTACGGAATAACAAACTAATAGTTGCTATGATAAGCAGATCTCCATAGGGTTTCTCTATTAATGGAAATGCTCTTCACAAAAATACCTCCAGTAGTGCCTCGTAAATAACTTTGTAGAATTGTGCTAGCTGAGAATCTGTTATGGTTTCTTTGCTTTTCTTGGAACATATAATGCGACAAAGGGCTCCCAAAGCAGCAGCTCGGCCTGCAGACACTCCGTCCACTTCAGGCCATTCAACTGAGTGCGACAACCCCGAATGAGCATCGCCAGATGATGTCATTGAATAGGCTGAAACAATAAGTATTGTTTTTATTCTCAAAATAACTGTTGTATATACTAAATATATACCATGTCATCATCTACTGCGTGGAGACAATATTACTTACTCCTAAGAATTTTCAAGTGGAATGCAAGACATGTTAGATATATGATAGGAAGCCATGAATCTCATAATGTTTCATTTCCCTATTTGACGAGATCTCAACCTTGTATACTCAAGTTTTAAAGTGGAATACCAAATGACAGTCGAGGGATAGCTGACTCATTCGCTGATGGAACAGCACTTGAGACACTTCCTCCATTATTTTCAGTACCACTTGTAATTGCCATTCGTTCATCCAAACATGGCGTCTCTTCAGCACTAATGGAACTCATCGAGCGTTGACTGATTGCATCTATAATGGCTTCAACAGGTTAAGAAACAAAAGAAATATAGAATTTATTTTTATTAGCATGTTGACAGTTTTCACTTAAGTCTGTGATACAATTTTTTTTATCATTTAGAATCCGTAGTACACAAAATAAAGGCCCAGAAATCAAATATATATAGTAGATCTTGAAAAGAAGGAAAGTTTTCAAAATCACAAAAGTAATCAAATTAATATTTTTCACTGTGCCAAAGAATAAACAGCAGTGCTTAGGACCAGAAAAAATTTAAAGAGTCAAAAATCATGAAAGTAAAAATTGAATTCAACACAACAGAATTTTGAATCAGCTACAAATGTATATATTTTAACCATACACAAAACAGGAAAATAGATACGCACCCAGAACATAATAATAATAATAATCCATATCCGTCATAATTTAAGCCCAATTTCTGCCGATCATAGAATTTATAATAGATGAAGTTGCCTACACATATATAATTGCGATGCATGAGCACTGCAGTAACTCGTGGCATAATTGCCGAGTGTTATACACTTTTGGAAGTTACACGGTGAGACATCTTGATAACTTGCTGTCGATTGATTTAAAATCCAAATTAAGCGTTTGAAGGTATTTGTTAAGTCCCAAATGATAAAAAATGGCCGCTAACTACTAACGCAATAAATGCTAAAATTACAACTGCTATTATCTTACTTCGTTAACATATATATTCTTTAAGAAAACAATACAAAACAAGCTATTATTCATTATCAATTAAAATATTTCCATATTTCGGCAGTTTTTGCCCTAAAACCTTCCAAGTAAAATACTACCCTGCTGGAAATAACTACCTATCCGATATTTCCTTGTTCTAAAAAGTTAGTGACATGCATATAAGCAGTGAACCAAAATTGGTGATTTTCTCGAAACTTTCGCTTCTGCAGAGATTTTCAGTGTCTTCCGTTTTTATTAGAATATTTAGTAATTTTACCTAGCAAAAAATTTAACCTGATGAAAAAACTGGCGCTTATTTCCCAAAACTACATTGATAACAAAACCAACAAATATCCTAAATTTAGAGAAGTTAGGAAAAAATTTACAAACTATGAAACCTTAAAAGCAAACCCAATGGCATATGAAGTCATTTCTCCAGTGAACGCAAAAGATTATAACCATCATTACTAATAACATCAACTTCATATTCAATTATGATCTTTCAAGTGGGGAATACGGTGATACCTGTTGTTGGTTCGGATGGATTACTCTCTATGTAGGGAATTAAATCAGCGTCAACATTAACGACAATATAAATGAAGCAGCAACTACAAAGAAAGGGCGAGTCATAATATCTCAAGGGAATTAATCATCGCCACTGGATTTATCATATATTCAGCAGAAAAAAAAAGGGTAACATGCGTGCTAAACTCATTTCTATACCTCCCTGAAGATCAAGATTAATTACTCAATCTATTTGATTAAACTATTCTAAAAGATTCAATGAGTATTCCTTGTCCCATCTCTCTGTGCCTTTATCATTATTACTTTCATAATCACTATTATTTTAAGATATCCTTATCATTACTAAAATGCTAACACGTAGCTATTCCAATCTCTGCCTAATTTTTTTTACATTCTGTCCTAATATGCATTTTCTAGATATGAAACTTCAAATGTAATTAATAGCAAATAATGATCAAGTAAGTGTTCTTGGAATAATATCCTTCAAATTTACAATCTTTCTCGTAAAACCAAATCAAGGAAAGGACAAAATAACTACAGAAATTATGTTCGAAATACCTCTTTTTAAATAGCTAATGAAAAGCAGAATGATAAAACATTGCGAAGAAAAATTTCTCATTTTTTTTATTTCAGTATATTATTATCTAAAAATTTCACTCTTGATAACAGGCAGTTTCATTACATGCCGTTGCCATAGGAGATAAGCACTTCGAGCATTCAGTTAACGGATTTTAATATATTCATTAAAATGCCTCAACAGAAAAATGTGTTCCACTTTTTTTTTGAATTTTTATTGTAAATTAGCATAAACCGGAATATTCTTCGTTTAGAAAATGTCTCCTTTCAAGTTCAATTTATTAATAAATCAAAAAAAGGCAAACGCTCCAAATCTGCCTATCAGCTCATAGAGTGACAAAGAGAAATTATGCTAGGGAAGAAATAAAAAGTGAATGTGTATTTAAAAAAAATGTGTTATGGTAAAGACAGTAAAAAAGTACTGAATACTCACAACATATAAATAAAATAAAAGTGTCGATTATCATATCACTACCACGCGTAACCGTGATACGACTTCCACAATGATGTAACTTTTTCACGTTATATGCCAACTACACTATCCATGCAGATTTTTCATAATCTGGTAGAAGTTTTCGTTTATATAAAAATAATTCAGTATAACCACCGAATAACCGGAAGAAAAAATACTGAAAACGAAGCAAACTCTAAATATTTGCTGAAAAATATCTTACGAGTAGCTTTACTGGCAGCAAGACACCATAATCAGTCTACTCTCTTTCCTCTTATAGTCTCTTATAGGTTCTTATTTTTCTTGTATAATGTTTTCCTTTGTCGAAAATTATTAGGTGAAGATATGAAATCAGGATCTGGATTCTTCAAACAACCATCGAATTTAGGAAAAAAAAACTGCCAAAATAACACATGTAGCCATGTTTGTTTGACACATTTAACATTTAAATTTTATCTGTGTGCTGCTTGTTAAATTATATGGTTTAAAAAACCAGATATGAAAAATTATAGTTAAGAACTAACATTTTCAATTTAAACTGATACAAGAGATAGTAATTATCCCTTACTAAGTACTAATTATTATTTTTTATATATTATTTATCTCTTACTAATTAGTAAGTACTTCTTAAAGACTATTTCACCTTTTTATAAGATGTTCTACAAGGTTCACAAGCATATCTTATGAAGGTCGGCAATTATAAAAGAAATCAAAACAGGTGAAAAAAAGCGAATCCATGTACATATAAAGAAAAGCAGGAACATATGAATCAAATTCAAAAGCAAAAGAAGTCAGGAAGGACAAATCGAAAACATTTTAAAACATATGACGCATATGAGCGATGGTAGGCAGAGCCTGAACAAACAAGAGCAGCATAATAGAATGTGCCCGTGCAGTATCTGTAAATGGAGACTGCATTTTAATGATGATGGTAACATACATCAGCAGTCTGGAGTGGCTTTTTAGAAATTTTGCGTAAGTTAATTCTCTATACTCATTGAAAACTAATTTATAAACTATTTCATAAAGCTTGTTTAGAAACATTACTTAATAAACTTGAAGTCGTATGACTTCGTCTGTTAAACATATAACACAAATTAGGAACTATCAGGTTAAAATATGTTAAAAAGCCGACTATTCTAATTTAACAGTCAACAAGTTGATGAAAAGTGTAGGCAAAAAAGTAGATAACTGCCAAGAAATCAAATCCAATTTTGCATAATTAAATTACTTCTCTAAATCCAGTGAGTAGGAATCCTGATAGCATTATATTACAGTCCCCAAAACATAAATGCCAACATGTTTTACTTTTTAGAAAAAATTGGCCTGAACAGGAAAAACATTTTAAAATCTGTTGGAAAAACAAAAAACCAGTAGGTAATGGTAATTATTTGGAAAGTCATTTGCACCATCAAAAACAAGAGAATAAAATAATCAAATAAATGATCTTTTTTTGAATAGAAATGTAATGAAATTTAAAGGAATAAGAATTCCCAATTTTTTGATTGTTAAAAAAGCTTTTTTGAGTTATCAAAACTTGAAATTTCAGGATTTTAAAATAAAATAAACTTACCACCTAGTGAAGATCGAAGAGGTCTCACGAGTGAGGACTGTACAAGCCAATCCATAAAAGTATCTAACATTTGTGCCACTTTCGGTTGATGGTCACCAACATATGGCTTATAAATCTTGTTACCTAAATTGATAAAACCTGACCAACTATCGTTTTACCAAACCCTCTCCACAAATTTGAATTTATGAAGATAAACTAGAATTAAAATAAAATTTCTCTTTTTTAAAAAAGAGAAACACACTAATTACGGAATCGCCTAAAAAAAATTGTTATCAGTATCATAAAATAAATAAAGTAAAATAAAGTGAAGTTACTCTGCAAATAATGCCAAACAAATTGAGCTGAATTGGGTTTCGGAATCTCTAGCGACATTTCTTCAACAACACTTGCAGCAGGTGAGGATAACGGTATACTGGTAGCCAATGAACGTTCTGAAAGAAATTGAAGTCATTACTATAAAGCAACTGATTTTTTACAGTCGAAAAAATGCATTATAATATTCACACATTAACCGGAAAAACTATGAGCAGAATTTGAACTAATCCACATATTACTTTATTATTTTATTTTGTAATGGTACCTTTGACGTGCACATATGAATCTAATTAGAATTTTCTTGGTTCATTTAGTCAGTAAGCTTGTCAACTAATGGAATAACATAAAAATGATTCTTTCATCAATTTAAAATAACAGTTCAACTCATAATCTCCTCTAATAGTGGAGAAATAATTTCAAACTACGCAGAAACTGACTCACCGGAAGTGGCACGACTCTTTGACACACTAGGAATGCTAAGGGTATTTTTTAAATAACCACTGCTTCCTCCACTCATTACCATAGCTGACTGAGCTGCTATCAACGCTGCGTTATCTGCAGTTTTATCGCCAGAGCTGCTCGAGCTTCGTGGAAGTACCTAAAACTTACTGAAATCACCAGGAATGAAGTACTATGTCAAAATAAAATAAAAAGATATGGCTCATATCCATAAGAGATCTGGAAATGCGAAACTTGGAAAGAAATAAAAGCTCTTATACAATCAAAGTGTTAGTTATTTACTGAATGTTAATTATTTTTACAACACTACCTGTTGGTGCCTTAGGCAATCTTCATAAACTGAGCGATTTAAATCAGACCAAAGTCGCATCAATTCATCAGATTCTCGGAAATCTATAGATATACGACTATCTCCTGGAAAAGGTATTACAATTTAAATTAACATTTCAACACTTAAATCAATCACAAAAGAAACTCTACCTTAATTTCTTATCTCTTTTAATGATTAGAAGTTCGTGTTCATTTCAGACGATATTAAGTCATATTTTTTAAAAAAGTAATTAACTAACCATAAAATATATCGACCAACTTCATTACGGCAGCAGATGTCATGAAAAAACACCGTTTTAAGCTACTGATAGTAAACTCAGTGAGTTCTTCATCAAACTTCCCAACCATTGGATTTCCATCACTGCTCACTGCACCACCTTTAGAAATTACCAAATTCATATTACTCATATTGCTAAGGAAATCGTTCATTCTAGAAAACTAATGGGAGTACATTTGAAAATTGTTGTTTGATTTGAGATCTACATTTTCAAAACGAAGTAAACGTGCTAACAAATTTTACTATCCAATTAACAAAAGGACTTTAGAATAATCTATTTTTAATAAGTCCCATTAATTTTAAATTAAGCAGAGAACAGCTAATTCTATGGATACTTGAAGACGCACAAACCAATTCATCACTAGTAAAAAAAAAATGAGTTAAACAACAAAAATACTGATCGATGCGTGAAAAACCCACTTACCAGTTACCATCATAGCATTGAGAATATTCGCTGGTAGAGTTCCGGAAGTGCGGGGCTCAAACGTAATTATTGATGCTGGATTACCAATCATATGCATTAACTGGAACCAACAAACATGCAACACTGGCAACGTACCATCATTTTCGACAGTTTTCTTGATATTAGCCGCAAATAATTTCACTTGTTCATCAGCTAAAAATTTAGTCATTACTATCGATTTAAAACTGAGTCAAATTTTAAAGTGCTATAACTCTATGCAAGTGTCACTAATTCAAGATGCCAAGCTGAACTAAGAAAATATTTATCTCTAGAAAGTATAGAAAAGCAAATATTCATATATTCATCTATTTAAGATGAAAGTCAAAATACAACTAGGACAACTAATGGAAATGAAATAACAAAAATTACTAAGGAATAATCCAGCTTTTCAAATTACGAAAATTTAATAAAACTAAGTAAAAGCTAACTTATGGTGATTGGGCAGTAGTTTTCGCCACATATCTCCTGAACAATAATCACTGATAGTGAGACCACTTTTCTTGCCCAATTCTCGATGAAACTTATCTAAAACCTTCCATGTAATAAAGAAAATAATAAGAATCATTACTGTAATTTTGAAACATGAAATCTGCTATGAAAATTCGAACAACTCTCTGCTTCATTGGATAGTTTTGCAAAGCTTTCAACCAAATCTCTTCATTTAAATTATGCAAATTAACCAAAAGTAAGAAAAAAAATGAGAGTTATCCTGGTGTCTAAACAAACAAACGAATAAATAAAGCAAACTAATCTGATGTCGCCAACGTTTGCTGAGGACAGAAAGTGTTTTCCAGTATGTCGGAGAAGGTATTTGTTCAAGACGAGCAGCACACAGAAATACATCCAAAAGTGTTTTTGTGACTTTAGGGGCCATTAGAAATGTAACATCATCTATAAGTACGTCAATTTGAAAGTGTACCAAAACCTTCAAATCAAAACCTACTCAAAAGAAGGCGCCTATCTAAACCTGATTTTGATCTAACCTCGATATTGTAAAAAATAGAAATGAGCGCTAGCTAAGTAACTCATAAATCTTTTTTATTAAACAGAAGTTACAGTTTCTTAGCGTAATGTCTATTATCTGTTATAATGAATGGTGAGATATACTATACTGCATTATGTGATAACTAATCTCTAAGAAAAGTTCAACTATATATAACCTACCCACACACGTTTGTCCCGAAAGCAGTAAATCGGTAGCATTCAGCAAGAATTTCAAAACCGCTGGCCAGATTATATCTTTGTGTTTTCCATCATAATTCAGTAAACTCTGGACAATAGTTCGTAAAACATTCTCCATTTCGTGCGCCTGTTGTGTAGCGGTAACTGTCGTTTCCGAATCGTTATTCTTTCGAACAAAGAGAGTTCGCAATGAATCAAGAAGAATGCTTAAATTAAGAATATTTTAATTAAGAAAAGATATTGATTAACCAGAGATCATAACTAAATTAGGAAACACATGTTCAGTAAAAAGAAAAAAAAAAACTGAATGAAAAAGAGCAAAATTCATAGCAGAGAAATCATCGTCAAGTCAGAAGAGCTCGTAGCATAGTTATAGAAATATTATAATGTGAAATGTTGGAGTTTATTACTTTATTATTATTACTATCATTATTATTTTTACAGTTGTTATTATTATTTATTATTAACCACTATTATTACCATTATCATGGCTATACAACCTTGGCATTTCTAAAACCTTTGACTATTTCAATGAACTGTGCGGCAAGATTAAAAGAGAAATCAACATTTTAGCATGTTTTCTGTTTTTTTGTTCTTTTTTTTTTTTTTTTTTTTAATAATCTGCCAGTGATAATGCAGAAATATGGAAAAAAAAGTCGCTCATAAAATTTTTTGCAATTTTATCACTTAAGAAAAAGGGAACCATTGTTATTTGAAGAGTGTTACACGTCACCTTAAATTAACCAGAAAGCACAGTAACTGTAATTAGTGACCAGAACAAAATAAATTAACATAAAACAACTGATAAAGAGCAGTAAAAGAATATAACTTTTAGCAAAACACAAAAAGAACTGAGATTTTAAAGATGCAACAAACCATATGTAATTTCCAGGATCGCGTCTCATTGGACCAGGAAGATGCGCTACTACACCATTCGATATTGCGTCCAACCATGTACAGTAAGTGCGAACTGCAACACAAAGCGCTTCATGTTCTTTGCTTGTGGAATGAGACAAAGTCAAGGCGTAAGATATTACCTGAAAAGAACTACAGAAAAAATGACCAATTCCATAAAATATATATGTAGGAAATATATAGATAATAGCTAAAGTTGTCGGGAGGTAATAGTTTATTGATTACCTTAATTCCCTTAATTTTAATTAAAAATTAAATGTGCAGCTATTTAGTGAAGAATTTAACCTGCAGACCAAAAACTCATTAAGGAGTTATGTCCAAAAAATATCCTTTTAAACTAATTTAGACTTCATATTGTTGCATTTTGTGGTGAAATACACAGACACATAAACCAGTGAGAATTCCACAATGAACTGCTCGCTTTAAAAGCAGACGTATGTGAAAATGATCGTCTATATTCATTATCTTATGGCTTGGACATAGCTCAGCGTGTTTATAGTCATCATTCTATTCGCAAAACTATTCGATCCTGTGTTTTAACACTGCTTAAAAAAAGTAACCTGTAAAACCCATGAGAGCTGTTCTTCAGTATCAATTTTAAGGCACATCCTTCCATTTAAATTCTCGCCAATTTCATGCAGCAATAATTTGGCCATACCATCGCTTGTCTTCCTGCAAAATAAAAACATATTAATAGCAGGACTTTGAGATTTGGACAGATTTTAAAATATCAATTGTATAATTGTCAAATCAAAGAACGCTGGCCGAGGTTATGATAGTAATCAGAAAAAAATTAAAAAATTTTCAAAAAAAAAAACATACTTTGAAAAAATCGACAAAGATGACTGGACACTATTTAGTGGAAAAAATTCAATCAGTGGCCATTCAGCATAGAGACCCATTTCTAAATCATACAAATTAGCAGTCCATACTGCTATTACTGCTACATTTTCTTCGATTCCATTGAGCAATCTTTAAATGTGACAGTGATAATAAAACTGTTATGATGGAAAATCATAAACGATCAGTTTGAGAAACATGTAACATTGATCCAGTTATGATAAACCAATCACTCCAATAGCTTCCGAAGGTTTATGGCACATCTTGAGAAATAATCCCTTCAGAGAAAATTGAATTTGTAATGAACAGCACCAGTACTAGTGATATCTGATAAATGAACAATAGCAGTGACAAAACCTTCACCAAAATTGTTCTAATCATCAGATACTACGGAAAGTAGTCTGAGAAAAACGTCCAAAATGTTAAAAAAAAAAAAAAATACTAACCATTACTTTTACATTTGAAGCAAAGCTATCCCAAATTATGTCTTAAGGAGGCTTCCGCTTTTCAAGTAAGTGTAAGAAAATGCCAGTCAATTCAACTGGCATAGAATTCTCGAACTAAAAGACTTTGAATATAAAGTCAAAACTTTCTTGCAAAGCTTTTATTCAATGACTTAACAAAAAAGGAAAAAAAAAAACGATAAAATGAGATTGATTAAACTAGAAATACAAATGAAAAGAATAAATACATGAAAAACGTTGGGCACAGAGATCAATGATTTGAAAGTTTTTTTTTTTTTTTTTTGATTTTAGATCCGCACAAACGATACCATAGCTAATCTGCGTGGTCAGTGAACCCATAATACCTAAGACCAAATTAAAGAATTTAAATTGAATTCTCACTCTTCTTTCATTTCAACACAATTTTTTAGAACAAAAACTGAGTTTTAAACGCATCAGCACTGGTAACATCAGTATGGAATCTAAAATGAAGCACCATTGCTGCGATCAGTAATACAGCCAAACAGAAGACTGGACAGAAATAAAACTGAAAACAATAAGTTGAAGTGAAAAAGAAATAAAGGGTAAGACTGATATAACGGACGGATCCAAAAGAAACAAAATAAATTCCAACACACATAATTTTTGCAAGAATTCATAACGGGATTTTGAAAAGGCTCTAACATGTTTCGGGAATGTACGCAAGTTCACAACAAATTTAGCAATTAAAAAAAGAGGTTTTTCAAAGATCTTTGAAGTAATATGACATAATGCGGAGATCATCAATATACTCTACAAACTCCTGGATGAGCACTCAAGGAGAAGGGAATGAGTAAACAAAGTTAAATTCTCTGGAATACGTTACGAGCTGCATAGTGATAAAGTTAATATTGTATTATGTGATCGGATTTTTAAAAATAAATTTCAGCGATGTTATCGGGATACAGGAAATGTAGTGGAAAGAGTAAAGAAACAAAGCGGAAACAATGCCACATTAGAACCTATAAAATAATCTGCTCATTCTAGTACATTTAGTAATATTTTCAAATACTTTACCGTTTTGTCAGAAGCTAAAAAATAAATAAATTTAACTTTTTTTACACGTCTATAGTTTAGACTTGCTTATCTGTAAATTAGAGTTGACGCAAACAAAAAGGCATTCCTACCTATCTCACTTATTCATTAATTCCTACTACAGCAAGCTATTGCTAAAAACAAAAAAAGAATTTACAAACACGAAAAGAATGTATTTACTACACATTGTCAATCTATCCACCGAACGACATTTTATCTTTACAAGGTGCATGAACTATCTGCAAATAATGGAGGCGCTCAGAATCGCGTAGTTCTCGTTTCCGCTCTTCCTCAAACAACATCAAACAAATTTTCACTGTTTCGTCGATTTCAGGTTCTGCAGTATTTATTAAATCATTGTTCTATTACTGGATCAAAAAGTGGAAATGGAGCAACTTAAATAAAAAAACTTTCAAGCTTATAAAAGCATGCGTTGAAGTGACTTCAGTCTACAAAGCACAAAGATCTCATGGTCAAACTTCTATTAGAATAACACTAATATTTTCAGAAAAATGGCTGAAACCATAAATTTATACCGTCGAATCTGCAGTTTTCCATGAGATGACGTGCATGTAAAAGTGCTAATTCTCTGTCAAAC